TCCTCTCAATAGAATCCTCTCTTAGCACTTGTCCTAGCATCATTCCCTTACCTGTCACGTAATGATTTTATTTGCTGTCCATTTGATCATTTGCCGAGGACAATGGCCAGGAGGAAAAATAAAATCTATACCTCATATGCTCATAGGTGCAGGTGATCGAGTGCTGACATGCCTCCTCAGACCTGCAGTGCCCCAGCATCCCAATCATTTTAGGTGCTGATAGATCCAGCAGATAAGAGCGCAGCCCTATATACGTCATTATAGTATTTGAGGGCAAGAGTATTTTGTCTCTTCACAGGCCAGGAACGCATTCTTTCCAAAGTTAAAAAATGATATTTTCCTATCTGCAACCATGGCAGAAGGACCTTGTTGCATCTATGAAAGAAGGGGCTAGAATGGACAGACCCATGTCTTGTTTTGTCCAGGAATCAGCGTTTTGGATCCAGGTTTAGACATTTCTTTTTCTTAATAACATTTGGCTTTGCTAGGATTATTGGAATTTCTCTTTGCGAGTGCTTCACTAACAACTTCAAGCAAGCAGCAAACTGTGGTATCATTTCAGCTTCTTTTACCAGCATCAGTTAACCTCTTCTGTCATTGAACCAAAGCTTATGACTCAAACTGGACACCTTGTGCCTTTTCTTTGCTCTTGTTATTTCTTACCCAGGAAGATCTGCTCATTTCCCTGAGGGTGGCCTTATTTTCTGTTTCGCATCTACTGTCATGGCCTCTAATTTAGAGCAGGCACCCCTTAGCTAGGGTGATGCTAAATATGGTTTCTCAGATACAGCCAGCTGGCTAACAGTTTACTGCGGAGAGTGTATCTAAGACATGCATCCAAATCCATCCCCACCCTCCTTACATTTTTCTTCTCCTTCCTTCCCTCTTTTCTGCCCTAGGATGCCACAGTACAATGCAGTGTAATAAAATATAATTACAGTGCTTCATAAAGCAATCCAATTATGAGGTCAAGTTTTTTTCCCCCATGTGTCTTTTTTGACCAGGAAGCACGTGAAAGACCAGTAGCACAATAGCACCTATACGTGAAACATCCTGCACCCAGGAACCCACTTTGAGCTTTGTCCTCCTACAGTTTTCTCTGAAAAATAAAAACGAGGTAAGAAATGCTCAGACCTGGTGTTACTAACTGCAAATATTTGTACAGGGGAAAAAAATGTGGGTAGCGCTCTGTTTAATCCTTTTCCGTCTCTGTGGGCCCACGCAGGTCCACAGCTCCACCTTGAGGTGGATTCTGGCATAGCACCCTTCGGTCACTGCAGGGAGTTCACGTCTTGCTCTTCTTGAGCGTAAGAGATGGTTCAAGACGAAGGCCAAAATCTGTTTGTCTAACCCTGAGCTTTTCACTAGTTTGGAGTTCGTTCCACCTTGCCCGTTACTTTTTTGTAGGAAAACTTCTGCTCTTGCACTGGAACCTATAGTTGTCCCACGACTTAAGTTGTCCCCAACAGTTTCCTCCAGCTGTGATCACTGGTGGGAGACTTGATTGATATGTGTTTTACAGTACTTGTATGGTATTTGATGAGTTTTAGAGAACAAGACTTTTTCCCTTTAATATAACTCAGATTGTGCAGAGCAAAGCTTTCCCCTTCTGGACTGGCTACGTGTCAAATAGCATAGGTCCCAGTACCTTTCTCCATGGCACTTGAATCAGCTCTCTCCAATATGAGAAGTGACCATTTCTTCTTATCTTCTATTTCCAGTCTTTTAATTATTCTTCTCCTACAAGAGAATCATCTCTCCTCCCCCAAGTTTCTTCAACAGTCTGCAGGGATGAGCGTTGCTCGTTTCCACTGGGGAGCCCGCGTGCCCGTTCCACTTGGGTTGCCAAAGTCTGCACATGCACTGATTCCTGCAGAGAATGCTGGCAGGCCCTGAGCCAGAACTTCCCTGGACAAAAGCTGTGCTAACCCTTCTCCGGTATTTTGTGTTTATCTCTGTGTTCACTAACACTATTTTGTTCTGGTTTTTCCCAGACTCTCAGAAGACCTACCTCTAAAAATTGTCATCCTGGTTGCTACATTCCAGCCTGGTACCAAGGCAAGTTTAAATGAGATGTTTGGGGTCTGCCGTGTTGTGCTTTTATATTGAGTATGCCAGAGTTTGCATGCTTTTCTTCATTTCTCCATTTGACCATTCCCTGAAGTTAAAGATACATTTTAAAATTCCAAGAGCTTCCTTTACACTATTGTTGAATTATGTGGGCTTTTAAAACAATTCTCCAACCAAAGTTAACACAGTTGTGATTATCTCCAGACTCCCGAGAGTCCATTCTCACCAATGCCTTGGTAACTCTGGTGCAGAGAGAAGCAGGCAGCTCTGCACTCACTGTCAATGGGAATTTTATTCCAGCTTCACCAAGCTGGAATAAAACACATGAGGTTTTGTGAAGATGAATTATATCAGCCGAACAGCGGCATCCTTGGGGTTGCACTATCCTGTCATAGTTTGACTCGACTGCATCCATATTATCTTAGAAGTACAGGGTAGGCGCTCCTCAAGGCAGAATTTGTAGGGTTTTTTGTCTGTTGTAGTACTGTTGACTTAAATGGAACATTTACTAGTATTAGCATTTATTTGTATTGTGATGGCCACATTTTTCAATTCTTCACAGACCAGGTCAAAGGCTGACAAGTAAGCAAAGCTGTTTAAAAAGTCAAGAAAAGGTAAAGTAGTAGGAAGAAGCCCACTGTAAGAAGTGGTTGGCAGATCAAGTTATTCATATTACTATATGATCTTTGCAGAGAGCATTTATAATGCAACATCATTTTCTGTAAGTTACTTCATGTACCAGGAAAGGTTGCAGCAGGATGTTTTTCTGAAAAGGACCCTAGTGGAGAAAAGAATCAAAGAAAATCAGATAAGATCAATATGGACAGCCTAAGTAAGAGCTGGCAGAAAATGTTTGTTTCTACATTCTCAAGGATTTTTGGCAAAGTCCAACAGCTCTTTTCTTGTTTTGGCTGTTGAATTCAAAATAAACATATGCATTTTTGCAAGATGAAAAAGCAAATTTTCAGTTTTGAAAATTTCAGTTAGACGTGTTTGCACAGACATTTCATTCCCTCAGAAGTCATTTCCCACCTGAAGAGACGTCCCCAGCAAATGATTCAAATAATTTCACACTGAAGTGCAGAGGCCCTGGTAGCTTGCAGAAGTTAAGAATGTTGCACAGTGACATGTACAATTTGGTAGATTGGATCACATTTAAATACTTAGAAACCTGTTGTGTGTTTTTATTTTCTAGTGCAAGAGAAAAGCAAAAACCCACAGTTAAAAGTGAAGCCCTTGGTATAAATTCATCTTAGGTGCCAAGTGTTTGGCATTGCAGCCAGTCACTGGGGAAAAGGAAGCCGAGTGAGAGCAGCAGTTTCAAATACATCTCCGATGCATGTTTTGCTGCAAAAGCCATGAGGGGCCACTGCAGCTCAGCACATCCTGCCACCAAAGCCCTGCTGGCTCTGGAGAACAACCTACCCTGCTGCTTCAGGCAACAGCTCAGCACACAGCTTGGTCAGCTCACCTGCGAAAACCTCACCTGGTTTAGAAGAAACATGAAGGGTTTTAAGTAGGGTTAGCATGCTGCACTGAAGGCTCAACAGCTGCCAGTACAGGCACACGTGGGTTGCAGGGAGATCCCTACAGGAGCCAGCACTTAGATCAGCTTAGGTTACCATCAGACTGCAGTGCGAAAGAGCTACTGTTCATTTACTGTGTGATTCAAAAGCCCTGCCTCTTCCACTGTATATATAATCTTGTTCCCACTTACCACTATTACTTTTGTGTGAGCTGATCTTAATCAATTAATAGTGGTAGACAGGGGTTTTTTTGTCAGATTTCTAAGGGTGAAGTATAATTAATGACCCCACAAATACCCAAAGCAAAAAAGACTTTCACGAGAAGAAAACATGCTCCCCTCCCTGCCACACCACCCAGTTTAGCAGTACACTGAATGTCCAAGCAAAGCAAAGGCTAGCTGCTCCCTAAGGGACAGGGAACCAGAAATCAAGGGCCATACCACAGCCAGCAAGGCAGGGACCTCACCAGGCAGGGACCCATCCTACAGTAGCTTAGCAAGGGAATGAGACCTACCCAGAGATCATGGCCAGTTTCAGTCAAAGTCCAGATCATCACATAAGTTCACAGCAACAAAGCTGGTCGAAAGTCAAGCCAGGGAGCCAGTCTTCAGGTCAGAGACTAGACCAGCAAGGCCCAGAACCAAGCACAGGACCATCACTCCTGCAGCATGGCTCAGACAAGGACTTAATGCCCAGGGATGAGCTTAAATGGGTTCCCGGGCCTATGGGCAGAGTGGGTGTGTGGAGGTCCCAGGTGAGGCTGGTCAGGGCCAAGAGTAGTGGGTGCACTCAGGCCTCTGACACCAAAACAGATCTTGCTCTTCATTTTGCAGCATGCAGTTACGCATATGTTGAAACCATGTGAAGTCTCCTTTACTGAGAGGAAGCATACCCTGGCCCTGGCAGGGCCTTGCCCATTGCTGTGGGGTGGAGGAAGCAGAAGGATCCAGCCCCAGAAGAATGTCACCTTTGCTGAAATTTCAGGTTGCAAAGGCAGCTGTCTATGAACAGTAGAGACAGAAGGACTGTTAATCTTTGAAAACGTTGTTATTTAAGTGCAAACCCAAGACATCAGATGTCAAGAGAGAGGTTGCAGGATGAACATTCAGATCCATCTTGTAAAAATGGTCAGTGATCTGTGAGTTTTCAGTTTTAAGGTATTTCAGTAGATATTTCTTAATTTTCAACAAAGGTTTCTTTTCTGAAAGTTAGTGTCAGAAATGAAAGCATAAAAATTCAGTGGCAACTCTTGCAGCGCTTCTTAAGTGACTACTGTGGAAGTGCACAGGGGCCAGTGAGGACCTGTGCAGCTACCAGGTGCTCTGGAAGAGGGCCATTAGGCTATCCACTCACATGCCTCCATTTACTGCTCAGATGCTGTTCACCTTTCTGCAATATCTTTTGCATAAAATTTCAAGCCTGAAATTGCTTCCATTCCTGCACCTGTTAGAACCTGTGCTTTCCGTACAGACCTGGAGGAGCATACCATGAAACTCACGGTCCTAAAGACACTCCTGTTTCTCTGCAGGTTCGTAGCTGATTGAACTTCCTCTTCCTTGAACACTGCTTTTGGTGTCCAGTATCTCAGAGCTTCCCAAGATGAAGGTTGCCTTCTGCGAGTGTGGTACATCTCTCTGCTGCAGAATGCTCTGTTGAAGCTGGGACAACACCATTCCAGAGGCTGAATTCTCATTTCTAGTGGGCAGCTTGTTCAGATTCTTCACTTGTAGGGACATGCGTGTTGGCTAGAAACAAGGTATCACCTGCAGGGCTGAGAATGACAGTTTCCAATGGATCAATTTCCAAACTTGGAGGTACACCCTCTGGACAACAGTGCAGGGAAGAATCTTCCCAGAAGTTCATCGTCTCCTAACCAGCTATTGACTTGTTTATGTTGCTTTACACAGGAGCATGCCGAGTTCATAGTCCAAATCAGACAGTAATTTTATATCAAACTGTGTTCCAGGTGCCGCCGTTCTTATCTGGATTTGTTTTTCCAAAGCACTACTAAACCAGAAAGATATTCAGATGTCTGCAATGATGAGATCAAATTTTAGCTTCATTAATTCCCATGAAACCTAGCAGAAGTTGTACATGTGTGACCAAGCACTGAGAGAGAATTCAGCCCTTCAGAGGTTAGAGAGATCATGGTTTCATCTAGTGCCATTGAAATGCCACCGCCTCTGCTTTGGAGCTGACACATAACTGCCATCCACAGTACACAGCGCTCCTTGTGCTCTAGGACTCCGCTCAGAAGGGTTAGGGATTTGGTTGTCTGAATGAGAAGAAAAACGGTTGAGTATGATCAGAAATGTGATCTATAAGAGCAAACACTCACGATGAGAATGCTGTGAAACAGTAAGTAGATAAATGTATTTACTCTTTGTAAAAAATGCTAGATAGCTGAACTCCTCCCAAAGGAGTCATTTAATAGCTGAATATAAAAACAGCATTATGGAAGGACAGGAGGGATTCGGAACAAGTAGTTGCAGCATCTGTGGGGTGAACTTTAGCAAGAAGAGTCATTAGACCTGAGGAATGTCCCAGTGTCATATACATGATAGAGGCTGGACATTTGCAGGAATAACTGAGGAGCTGAGAAACTCTTCAAGCAGGCAGACACGAGGTAGAACCTCACTGAGTTAGCCCAATCTCTTTCGCTTTGCAGTGTTCCCTTTGCAACACCCTCTGTGCGGTTTTCAAGAGCAGCTAAATAAATGAAAGCCACAGACACTTAAAGATCAGCTCTTTTATGACTTTTTAGGTATTTTATGCAGTATGAAAAGTAAAAAGTCAGTTCCCTATCTGGACAAGTTTTACAGTGTACTGCAGGGGTGTTACTTGCTTAATCACTCAATGTTCATTATGGAAGTGTTTTCAAGATCTTCCTCTTTTTATGCACTAGCTGCAGGGCGGTTTGATGTACCACTCCAGTACAAAGCAGTATACAATAAGAACTGTACGCTGTACAGAGACACTAGGACACAATTTGAGGAATGTCTGCACTGCACAGCAGCTGTGGGCTAGGGAGTGTGGGCTAGTCAGACACAGAGGCAGGCTGCAGTTGCCATGTGTTGCCTCCATTCCCACCAATCTCTGATTCCTCACTTCATAATTACATAGCAAGAACTATAGAGTACTGTTTCTCATGCTATTCCTTTTCAACCTGAAAACTTTTATTTAACAGAGTGCTGTATATGTACGGCTGTCTGAAAATCATTTTGGTGTGCTTTGCTGCCGTGACAGAATTACGTCCTTACCTGTATAGGAGATGCTCTGGTGTGTGATAGGTCTTTAACAAAGTCTGAAATTAGGTGCTTGAATAAATGAGGTGGAAGAAGTGCCTCTATACTCTTCGTCTTGTTTATCTGCAGACCGGATATGAGAAGACACTACAGTAGCTGAGCTCTTTCCAGGCATGCATAGACTCTATCTTTTCAGAGGCTCCTGTGAGGGTTAGAAATGTTATTTCAATTCTACAAGTGAGGAACTAATGCACAAGATAAGTTAACTGACTCACCTAGTACTATCTGATGACTTGTGATTGAATCTCTTAGGTCCCCTAGGTCCCCTAACGATGCTTTGTTAACAAAAATATTTTTTTTTCCCCAGCGTTGGCCAAAATTCATCATTTTATACCATCAGGAAACTTGGCCCGATAAATTACAGTCATGTAAAATATGGAAAATAAGATACCAAGGTCTGTATCACAAACTCTTCTTATTCATTAAAGTGGTGCTATAATCTCAATCTCAGTATAATGTCTGCTAAGCCCAGTTTCTACAGCCTTCCTCATCCTTACAATTTGCTTGAAGTTTATGAATTCTAGCAATGCCGGAGAGCATAGGCTCTCATTCTGTTAGTCACATCCATCCAGAAGCAGAGTATTGTGTGAAAAATTATGCTTACCATTGGCAAGTGTGAACAAAATGATGTCTAGAAATATAGGCTACTTTTTATTAACCACTCAAGTGTTTAAATAGACAGTGACAAAGGAGATTTAGGGCTGCTGAGCTCTACTCTGAGATTTGCCAGAGACCTGTGTGTGCTGAGAGTACCAGGATCTGGAATTGTGTGGATTTTCAGAAGATGAAATTCTGAGGAAAAAGAGAGAATGCCTTTTAAGATCTGGCCAGTACAGTAGTGAACACTGAGAGCATGTTGGTAAACCACCTTTCCCAGATCCTCTTGAGTTCAGAAGTAGGCGGGCATATTCAGCAAGACCCAGGACAGTGCTGCAGACTGTATGTTAGAGATATTTTATCATTCTTTAGGCAGTGCTATGTACTGCAGAACAGTATTTGCCTCCTTCCTAAGTCATGAAAAAAATGTCTGATTTGCATTGTGTTCTTTATAAATTTAACTTCGTACGAATGATCGATACACATTTTTGTTAAGGTTTGTGCATTTATAATGTGACTCTAGGACTGATTTTGAGCACAGCTGAGACAGTTGCATTTCTTCACAGAGTACATGGAAAAGAGATACTTACATGTTTATGTCAGTAATTCAAAATATGTTGGAATTACGGTTACTGCTGAAGTTTGCTTTTTGATTTGGGATATCTTAGGATGAGGAGAATGAGGAAAACTTGGACACAATAATTGCCCTCTCTCGAATACTCACACAAAACTTTGCAAAGCAAATCCTCCAAATTGTACTCAAACCTAAAAGCAAGCGTAGAAGTAACGGAATGAATAACTAGTTATTTTGAAATAACAGTTCCAGCTGCAACAAGGTAGGTGCACCTTCACAGGAATGATAGGGATAGTTTCAAGTAGAAATTTAGATCTGAATCTGAAGCTTCCTCAAAGTTTCAGGAAATATAGATCTAGTACGATCCCTTGATTATGGAGGAGACTAGATGGATATTTTTAAAGGGAATAGAAAAGAACAGACAGCCTACTTTGTAATAAGACATAACTCCCTTAATAAAGAAGTAATTAAAGAAAAGCTCCCTAGCCTATTGGAAATTGGAGTCAGGTGCCACAGTCACATGACCCTCAAGTGAGCATTACAGAGGCGTGACCATGTGCCTAAGAGGATCCTAAATTAGAAGCAGGGGGAATGATGGTTGCTGTGCTATTTATTGGGGAAGCATACTGGCTCTTAAGCTTAGCTCCCAGAAGGAGAAGGGTCTTGTGGATTCCTTCTTTGAAGACAAAAAGAGTGCGACTGTACAAGGACACACTACCAAGAGATTTGAGGGAAGATGTGGATAGAGTTAACGTGGGAAAGCAATGTTTCACACAGAATATAGCAGTTGAGGGAGGTCTGAATTTGAAGATCATTTGAGGGTAGAAGAATTGTAGCCTAGAGTTGCTATGTAAGTTAGCTGAGTGGGGTGAGACTATGACCCAACTGCTGGTTGGGTGGTGATGGGAGCGAGTAGCTGCATGACTGTAGCTCTCTTCTACAGGCCCCTGCTCTCTGGGTCTGCCCTTCATGTTTCTTAGCTCCAGGCAATGAAAAGACTTGTATGGCTTTGTAGATCTCTAATTCTCTATGGATGACTTCATGAGTTATAGTAAGTGCAAAATCATGATGCCTGACTAATAGGGGTTTAGTCTCTTAGGTAAGATTTACCCTTCCGGTTATGACTCACAAGGGCCAGGACACTGATACTGACAAATTGCGTTCTACCCAGAAAAAGGTCAGTGCCAGGGAAGTGCCATCTCCATAAACAATGTGGGAAAGCATAGTCTTGAGCACGGGAATTGCCACAAAGTTCAGGTCTCCTTTTCAATTTCTTTTGTGAATTTTGAGGGTTGCAAGTTCCTAATGTGATGCATGAGAGATAACTGTATTGCCTGCAAAAGATAGGAAGGACTTAGAGTGGATGTATGTGCTTTACATATTTACTGATTTAAGCTAATGAGGTTTTTCCTTGTTTCTTTTCTGGGTCACGCTTATCAGCTGTGTCTACAAAAGCGTAGCCTGGCACACAGGTGTTTACATTGGCAATTTGGTGGAATAACAGAAAATCAGTCATCTTGCTGAAGAATCTTAGGTCTTTTGCAAGGTAAACCCAGTTGTTTTGAATCCCTTACTTTGTTGCTATTATCAAACGATCTTCATAGTCGTCGTCGTCGTAGTACAAAGGAAAGAACCAGTGAACTTCACATCTTGTCCGCTGAGGATCTGGGTTGACCTTTCCTTGTAGTATCTGTCTCAGAAAGTCCATGAAGAATCTCCCTTGTTTGGAGTCAGTGATGGTCAGGAATTGTCCAGGTGCAGCTGTTTGCACCCAACGTTTGGAGTTTTCATTCTCGTTATAAAACAGAGATATTTGGTGTGAGCTTGTGTGTACAGGATTGTGCTTCTAAAAAAGCAGTTCTACCAAGTCCGGAATGCCTGTATGATCTTTCCGTGGCCAGCCTGTTTATTCTGCGTGTGTAATGTAAAAATAGGAGAGGACTCTCTGAGGGTTTTTTCTAACTTTTAGTAGTTCTTATGGTTTTAGCAATATGTTTGCTAATGACTTGAGGTCAGGTTGTGAAACAGCTGAACTCCAAGTTCCAATTATTTATTAACTTAAAATTACTTGAATATTAATCTTGCAAGGAGCCCAAAACGTAGCTTAGCCTTTAAAGACTCAGGGATTGCCCCGTTCCCTACCCTTTCTACAGCAATCATCCTCGACCCTTTCTTTAAGGGTGGAAATAACATAACTCAGTTGTGACTTCGTTAGATTTCTAGGGCATATAAACTATGTTTATTGTGAAAGACAAGTAATGATGCTTCCTCTGCATGTGATTGTTCCTCTGCCTATGAAAGGAGGAGGAGTGTTGTTTCATTCTTTTAATTCACAATTGACTAGCATTTCTCTGCTTTGCGGTCTTAAAGACATCTTTTTCTTATGTGCTATGTGTTCCTGATCTGCGCTGAGCCATCTCCACAAAGTAAGGTAAGTTAATTGCGTTTGACTTTAACTCAAATGAGACCAGAACTAGACCATAGGTGGGTGTAGTTCAAGCGTGGAAATGAAAACTAGATCAAACCTGAGCCACATTCACCAAGCCAATATAAAAATCATCCCACCTGGTTTAAGTGGAAATGAGAACTATATCCTTTTGCTATCTTAATTTTTTACTGCTTTATTAAATTATTTTCTCAGTGGGACTTCTTTGCTTGAATCTAAATTAAGTAACTAAAGCATAAGGATTTCAAAACTCTTCTGTAGACTTAGAGATCCCCCAAAACGTAAATGAACTGTTGGGAATCGGGAGTAAAGTTACTTAAGAGTAAACCTAGTATAAGCTAGTCCTAGTGTGAGGTAATGACCTGACCTTCAAGGTCAATACTGAAAAGTATTCAGATATCTCCTGGTACTTAATGAAAGTGTCTGCCAGAGAAGCATACTTGTCAGAAACAGATGGGTTTAGCTTTACCGTGGTTTACAGGTGTGAAGGTAGGCCATGCTTTTTCTCTGTGTTCTAGCTGTCTAATCCAGGAGTGTCGGGCAAAATGCTCAAGTGTCTGTAGTTGTGATAGTAACGACCAAACCTCTGCATTTAAACAACTTGGAAAGTTATGTGAATTCATGTTATCCCTACAGGAGAGGTGGAGCTTGGTGAGAAGCTCCAAGCTTACAACAACATGGAGCTTCTATGGTGTTGTGAATTGAGCTGAAAAGTCATTGATATACATGCTAATACCATCCTTTGTTAGATATTCTTCTGGTGCAGAGCTAGAAACTACAGCATAAGCCGTAATTCCAGATATGAAGTATATTGCGTTGTATGTGCAGCTGTGAGTCTAGCTTTTGAGAGGAAAGCATCGGTGGGCGATGGTGTGAGAAGGAATTGAATACGAATGGGTCTGACCTGACTCTCGTTTATGTAAAATGATGTAAAGCAGAAGTAATTTGATATAAAGCCCGGTGCGGGGGGACTAGTATGGAGGCCAACTCAGGCTCAATATGTTTCATGCTCTTCTCTGTGCCTCAATAATATTCAATTTCAGGCTTGATCCTGTGAATAAATTGTGTGGTAAAAATGACCTGGCAATTAGTAAGCTCTAACCCCCACCTCCAGCTTAAATATCTGCTTAGACAGTTAGCTGCTGAGAAATTAACCTGCTAGGGATGCATTTTATCTTGCAGACACAACTCTTGCCTAATGAATAATATGCATAAGGATATTGTGCGGTTAAGCAACAAATTGAATAATATAGCTGCATGTGATTAAGCGCTCAAGCTATGTTGTCGTGAATATTGTCACAATGTTATAAATTCATCTATTCTTAAGCATCAACTGATTGTATATGTTGGTTAACAGATTAAACACCGAAGATGTATGTACATTTGGAGATGGAGAAAACACTTGGTCCTATAGATTAGAAAACCAATATGAAAAGAGTTCAAAGTGTAACAGTGCTTTCAGGGTGCACCCTGTCAGCAAATAATTACTAAGAGTCAGCAAGCTGCCTCTCATTATAAAGTTAGTGATTAAAGTGTTAACTGGAGCCTCCCTGTAGGTGTAACCGTGACTAAGAGAGTGCTCCTGTAAGCTGCTTGGAGGAAGGAAAGTGGGTAGGTAAATATTCCCGACATGCACTGAGGTGTGGGGAGTGTCCTGGGTTTCCAGCACTCCCGGTTTGTTGAGCAAAATAGTAATTAACAGCTCAGTGGGTTCCGTGAAGTAGCGAGGGTAGCTGACAGCTGGCGCAATGCTGTCATGCCTCTTCCAGGGCTCCCGTGAAAGGTGTGTGAAGCTCCTCCTCTGCTTCTCCTTTTTTGATCCTGTGTACAGGTAAGTGAAACATAAAGCTGGAGCTGTTCTGCTTTCGGTGTAACCTGCAGTGTCAGTAGAAAACAACGTATTTTGCAGTCATCCAGAACTCGAGTCAAATTCCTTTCAGGTAGTTGGTGTGCCAGAGGGAAGGAGAAATGCTCAGTCAGTCGAAATCATCCGAAAAGAAGTCCCTAGCGCTCAAGGTGGCTTGCGTGAGTCAGGGTTGTGGTAAAACAGGAAGATAATAAGCAATGCTGCTGCTCCGTGTAAACATGGGTATAAGCCTTTGCTGCCCTTCATTCAGTTGCCAATGTGACTTGAAAGATTACGTCGATGACCTTGTCTGTTCTTGTTAGCTGGCAAAAGCTATCTTTCCTAAGCTACCCGAAATAGAAAGTTATTTCTCTTCCTAATAGTGGCTTGCGTACAGTGTTTGACATATACTTGGTAGAGTAAGCCTGGTATCAAACCCTGCTCTATAGTCGTAGTTTACACAAGGAGAGCAACCATTTAGACCTTTTCCTTCATGCCCGTGAAAGCTAAGGGCCCTTATTCATTGATAGATACCAACTTCTGCTTTCAGTAATCAAAACCTGTTCTGAACCCGCCTGAGCTGAAGAGTTGTTTGTTGTGTTTCTTGTATTCCAGTAGAGCGGTTACTGCTCTGTACAGCCATACTTTATTTATTAAAAAGAAATATGAAGAAGTCTTCAAAATTTAAAAAAAAAAAACATTTTATTTCCAAAAAAAAAAAGAAAGTAAAGATTCATAGAGATATAGCATGTGACTAGTTAAACACCTGATTTTGCTGTGATTGAATTTCTTATGCAGTATATATGAATTTATTCCTAAACTCATTGTTACAGAAATGCATAGTGGACCAACAAATCACAAAATAGCAGGTACCTTGTGAGTCTTAGCAAGTGACTTAAATACTTGTGTGCTGTGGTGCCTACTGTACAAAGCTCTTTGTGCCATACAGTGTTAGGTATCTATTTTGTTGATTGTTAAGTTAATAGACAGTTGAGCCATATGGTTTATACATGGTAAATTGAGAGCACTTGCACCATCTTCACTTGCTATATTTCTGGAACAGCTTCTAAAAGCACCAAGTAAAAGTACCTAGAGATCACTGGGGCTTTTCAGGGTTTTAGTTTTTCTTAGCACTGGTTAGAGCTCTACAGCACTCTGCTTTTTGGCAAATCCATATTTTAACATTGGGACTGCAGAGTGAGCTATCTGGCTACTACATATAAATTGAAATGCTGCATTGCTGCTCCTGCTTGGCTTAACTTTGTCATGTCAGCAGTTCTTCTACCAGTCTCCCTCTACAGTCACCTCCTTATATCGTTCTGTAAAACCTGCATGGCTGTTTGCTCTTATGCTTGCTTTTGTCATTCCTCCCCTGTGCTGTCCCTTAAGCAAGTATCAGTGTACTTAGTAAAATTAAACAAGTACTCTCATCTCCCTATCCACTACCACTCTGAGTTTTTCTTGGAAATAAGAATTTCAGGTAAGATGTAGGTCTTATGTAGATGGAAAATTCCATACCTTTGGTAGTTTTCTATCTTGTTCCCTGATGTGGCTGGGAACTCCAGCCTTCGGAGTGAGCAGATGGTCTCTCCTCTTGGAGGTCCCTAGCCTTCCTTCATTTCCCTAGACTTTTCTTGGTGTTCCTGTCTTCATCTGGAGTGGTTTTTTTTTTTTTTTGCACCTGTCCCACTCCTCGTTTACTTCCTGTCTTTTCCTTCTGCTGCTTTTCCTGCCTTCCAGATGTATCTTAGGCTCCAGTCAGCCTTCCTCCAAGCCTTAAGGTTCTTCAGAGTTGATTCTCAGACCATGAAGTTAGCCTAACCAAGGCACCACTTTTAAGTCTTAGTCTTAATGAGAAGTGTCTGTCAGAGGGAATTGTGTGCTCCAGTCCAATTTAAAATAATGAAGACACCTGTCTGACACTATACAAGTATTTGGGGTCAGGAGATAACTTTTAATAGGTACCTCTGATCATATACTATCAGAAGAACTGGAAAATCGGCACACTCTTTTTTTCTCTTTCAAATCAATGGGAACGATGGAAAAAAGTCACCCTGTTTCTCTTGTTCACTTCCGCCAAGAGGTACAGGGAAGGGACCTGGAAGGCAACCAGCCAAATACCGTAATGTGGCCTAGAACATGACGGCTTTGTGGATTTAGGGAGCACAAGTGTAAATCCTCCTGTCATTTGTGATGCCAAATAGTTTTGCTGGGGAAATGCCTGTGTGTCCTTAACTGATGGATTTCAGGGCCAGCTTTAAAAAAAAAAAGAAGGCTGTAAGACCTTTTTAATGGAACCTACTCATTTAAATGATGCTACTTTATGTACACTAGCAGCAAGAACTGAATAAACGTAGCTCACCAACACAAGCAGATCCCTAGAGAAACTTCTGCTGTGTGATGGGAGCATTTAAACTTGAACTCAGTAGGCAAGTGTGGGGTGTTTTTGTACGTGTGTTTTTTTGGGAGGTGGTGTTGTTGTTGTTCTTTCTGATGCTCTGAGGAGAGCCCCTGGTTTTCTGGGCAGGGGTGCCCCCATGCCCTGCCAAAGCACCCAGCTGCCCTGCGGGGGCGGTTGCAGCAGGCCAGGGCCCCAGGGTAAGTTGCCTGGTGGTGAGGCTCCACGTCATTTGCCTCCCAAGTATTGGACAAAACGCAGGTATGGGACAGGTATGCAGAAAAGAGGGTGTTTATAGAGGGAGCAGGTGGCAAAGAAATGTGGTTTCGAAGCCCCTGATGAGCAGAATTGGTCAAATAACTGAGCAAAGTGTAATGAGCATTTTGTTTGGGCTTATGGCCCTTGTCTAGGGAAAAACCCAGTCTTTGTCCAGGTTACCTGAGGTAGCCTTTCCTCCCCTCACTGATGAGCCAGTGAGGGAGAGGAAAAAGGCAGGGGGGCAGAGGGAACATTGGTGAGGAATTAAGTGTTTGTTCCACCAGCTGACCTGCAAGTTTGCTTCACTGTCAGCATTTTAATGGCAGCCAGCAGATTTAAGATATGCTCAAGGTATTTAAAGCAAATGAAGTGTTAAGAGCCTGTCACTGTGTAACAGAACTACTAATTCCTTGATAATCTCATTTTTTTTGTGTAAAGATGACTTCTCTCAGTCTGTAGAGACCAGATTTTTCCTTCGTGTGAAGCATGTTAAGGTCAAATGATATCTAAAAATATGCAGCTCTGAGCAGTGAAGCAGTTACAGGGTTTGTGAGAGTAGGTGTTCTACATTTAATGGCGACCTGGCTATCTGCTCTTATAAAATAAGCTGTTTCCTGGCAGATGAAAGGGACTAGCTGAAGTGTATATCCAGCTATTCTGATGCCAATGTACATAGACTTCTCCGAATCTTTTGAAACTGTTTTGAAACTAGATTGGCATAGGGAGTTTATTCAGTTAGAGACTAGTAAATGACATAAAAGCAGACTTCAGAGTATGGCCAATGGTTGTTGAACTGATTTGAGATGCGAAGAAACACTATTTATTGGGGTCCAGCAATCTCTTCCTTATATACAAGCTTCTGTACAGAAGTCATTGGCCATATTTAATTTTCAGGGATATTTAGCCTCCTTCTGGATGTCTCACAAAGCACAGTGATTGGATGGGATCGTTCCCGCTCCTGGTAACACATTGTTTGAAACCTCTGCTTCTCACCCCAACCTCATTTAGTGAACTTAGGTTTTGGAAGGACAACTTAGGACAACTGTCTCCTATATATTTTATAGGCTGAATATAATGTATTTTAATGCAAAACTTCTCATTTGTCGATATGTACTTTTTGTAAAAATGATATCTCTATGACTGTAGAAGCTTTAGTGTGTAATTTCTTCTAAAAAGGCTCAATGAAGTAGGAAGAGTTTCGAAGAGGCTAGGCAGTCATTCTTTGGCTAACCACGATCTTTCCAAGCTTTAATTTCCTTTTCTTTCTAAGTTGATTTTCTGAACACTACTTGTCATGAGTGCTGTAGGCGATAAACTAATTTTCAGACTTCTCTTTGACTAGGCTCTGTCTTATACAATCTGAAATCAAAATCAAGTCACGAGAGCTACAACTTAGCTTTCTTATAAAGATAGGTTTTTTCCCCCAAAATAATTCTGTGGCCTTCAGTGAAATTGTTCCAGTTTTATCCCAGCGTAAGTGAAAATGGACGTTAATTTCTGTGTTAGGGAAATTCATCTATCATAGTGCCTGAGTAAGAGAGAAATTAAGTGGAGTAATCAAACTAAAATGCAATACTTGGGGATTTTACTGCTTTCCATGGGATATGTTTTTTCTTATCTGTTTGATGCCACTTCTTGAGTTGAGATTAAGTTTTTGCAGTGAAGTATCATTGTCATTCTTGGTTCTCTTCAGTTGCTTTCCTCAGTCTGCCTTTTCTTCTAACACCTTCGGGTGAATGAAAGCAGCCCAGATTCCATAATTAAGCTTATTGGAGAATGCATTGTTGGAGTCTCATTGGCCTGGCTTTTTGCCTACACAATAGACTGAAGTCATTAGACAGAAGTCCGTAAATTATGTTGCTGCATTGCTTTAATTATAGCCTTGTTCTCTCTTTAATATCTCTGCCTCTTTCTTTTTGTGCTGCAGGACTCTGCTAGTGATCAGCCGTCTCCTCCTTGCTCAGTCTTACAAACCTGGTTAAGGGCGGTTTGCTGAGTCACTTTTTTTTTGTGATCCTGAGCAGCTCTCTGTAGTTGTCAAGTGAATCTTCACCAGTAAATGGGTTGCAGTTCCTCTACAGAGAGGAGTGAAGTATAATCCTAGAGTTCTAGGGTAATCCCAGATCTCTTGGGGAAAGTTGTGGTGTTGGAAACTGTAGTACTCGGGATTTAAGGTACTGTGATATGCCTGGTGGGAACACATTATGGTTTTTGTAGTAGGAATGAGAAAGATTAGGGTATTAAGGCTAAATACAAAATAGCTAAAATACGTATATGTGTATAGTCAGAAGTCCTTAGCTTGCGAGATGGAGCCTGCTTCACTTGCAAACTAAGATTTCATTGAGCTTTCTGTTTAGTCTCTTACAGTGGCATTAATGAGTATAATTTTGTGTTTAGTTTCATCTCTTCTGAATAAATGAAGAAAGTGACTATGAAAGCACAGCATCTACCTTCTGTTTCCATCAATGAGGAGAAGTCTATAACCAGGTAAATTATTTAATAAAGACACTTAACGACTTTGCCCAATTCCAGTTACTCCATACGTATTAGCAGTGGATCCTACAGCAAGCTGAGCCTGTAGCAGCAGCAGCAGAAACTACAATTCCCTTTCTGTAGGGTGTCTGCAAAAGCAAGTGGCCCTTTATATGGTTTTCAAAGAACTGATCCTAATCCTTTGGGATGGCAGATATTGTTCATTAGGCAGAACAGTGCTTTCAGAGGATACCCAAATTAAATTTAAAATTAAGGAAGAATATCTTCCTATCTTCAAAATCTATTGGGTTTGAGTGAATTCCAATATTTAACTTCACCTATACCTATCTGACATATGGGGTCCAGTATCTAGCCCCAGGTGCCAATCTTTCTCTGCAGAAAAACTTACCAGGTTGCCAGCTCCAGTCTGTGGTCAGTGAAAGTCATTCTTTAACCAATTTATACCAACTTAGGAATTGCACTCGATGTATTTTGTGGGATGCTTTTCAACAGTGAAGTTCTGCTGTTAGGATTTACATAGCATTAGGAAAAAATTCTCAGCTTCCTGGTGTGTAGTTCCATCGCCTTTTTACAGCCCAACTTTTTCCCTATGTTGATCAGAGCACAGGAGCTGGAAGAGACTGCTGTTGTTTCACCTTATTTCTCTTCCTCCTGATCCTCCTGTGGGAATGCAGAAGCAGCCAACTGCAAATGCATGCAAGGATGGGGCCTGTGATGGGTTTTTCCCTGATACTCCACTAAGTATTAACATTGGAACCCTGATACCCTTGTATGCAGTTCTCCCTTTTTAAGGGATGGCATCAGAGCTTTGCTCAGAGCATGTAGGTAAGCAATAATGCATCCCTCCTCTCCTGCTAAATAGTTGTTCCCTTTACATTGATTCTAGTTTGGGATATAGTGCTTTTGTGTCAGAGGTAATTAGTGTAAGCTTTCATATACTTAGCATAAAAAACGCACTTTTCAATGCGCCACATAAATGTCTTTAGGGGTTTGTCCCTATGTATTTGCAAGTATAACTGGGTGAACTGTGGAGCCTGGTAGAGATGCTTCTGTGTTACGTTTGTGGTTTTAAGTGCTGCTCAAGTTTTCTTGCCCTGAGAAAGAACAGATAAGCATTTCAGGAATTGCTAACATATTTAATATGCACTCAAACTTGCTTCTAATGCAATTTTTGGACTATCTTACCACTTCTGTAACTTGAACCTGCTGTTATTATGTAATTCCTCCTTCAGTTTTATTATAGAAATCAGGCTGATGTGGCAAGCCTGCTGTTTGGGAATTGCACAATGGCTGGATCAAAAGAGAGAACAAAGCATGTACAATTACCTAGCTGGCCTAAATGTTGTATCTTTAAGCATAACTGACGGTAATATCCATGGATAAATGCGTAGTGCTCAACTGAGAGAAACACAGGTGGATTCTCTTGGATTAAAGCCTCTGGTGAATGTATTCGGGGCTCAGTTGTGTCTACCAGCAGGGTGCTTGACCTTCCTGCTCTCCTGTATCCTGCTGTCATTGCTGAAGAAACTGGTGGAGTTGCAGTAAATGTTGACTTGTTCAGGTTTGTCACCAACTAGTTCTTTGAGTTATTTAGCTTTGACTTTCTGTAATGCCTGCGTTTGGCTGTTGTCACAGAGCCATGCTATGAGGAACAGCAGCATCACAATGCAACTGCAACGCTGATTTTCTGAAAGTGTAACTCTGAGGTGGTGAACGTGTGCCTCTTTGATAGGGCAATCTTTGGGCCTTTTTAGTGTGAAGATGTGTTATACTAAGACTCGTTCTGGAACTAATAAGCTGGTGCATGCATTACTCTTTCCTAGGGCAAAAAAAGTAAAGAAAAGATTTTCTTTTCTAAGGTCTCTCCACTGCACAAACAAGTCAGTGTGAGCAGCTGTTAAACTTCTCCCTCAGGGCTTTTCTAATGGCTTGCATGGTTTGTCACCATCTGTTGCACTAATGCAAGACTGAAACCTGAAGTGTGTGTTTATGCAAACTTCAGTGGAAATTAATGGGAAGTTTTTCTGGGCAAGGCAAGAAACTAAGGAAAAAAATATTCAGGGCTTGCCCTGTTGAAGGTTAAATGCAATCTGTTTCAGAGATAACCTTTGCCACATCACTTAGTGCTTTTAGTCCATGATTTTAATTGGCCTCGCAGCCAGCATGTGCAAGGAGTAATATAGATGGGCGAGGAGTAATAGATGGGCCTCGTTGTCAGACCCAGTCCTTTCCTTATGTACTTCCTAATCTATCTTCAAGCAACTGATCCCCTAACTTTCCACCTGGAAAATGCTTGCGAAGTAACAGCTGTCAGTGACGTGATTGTGTAAGATACTAGGTTGCAAAGCGTGAAAAGACTCATGTTTTATGCATCTCAGGCAGGGTCTGTCACTACACATGTCAAACAAGAATATGCATCTTGTGCTTAGACCCAAATCTGAAGTTGTATCTGGTTTTTGCCTGCATGTGAGGCTCAGATATGCGTAGTTTTGCCTACCTGTAGCCAGTGCGGTGAAAACTTTGCTTGTACCTGATTCACCTCTAACCCCATTATAACTTTGCCTTTTGGTAGGATAGCCTAAACACTGTCCTTTGTAGCTTCATAACCCACTAGACATGAAAGACCATGAACAAGCCGTTCCAGCACAGTGGAAAGGAAGGCTTTGACCAGCTGTATTAGTCGGATTTAAGATGAAAGTGCCTTGAAGTAAAAGCTGAAATGCTGTTTTGGAACCCAACTCTGTTGATAAAGCCACTTAAAAATACCTTTTGGGAGGTGTAATAGGTTGTTCAAGTCAATAATTTAAATCCAGAGTGTTTTGAAGGGAGTGCAGTTAATCTTACTGACTTCAGTGGATAACAGCCCTAATCTTACTAGCTGAATAAAAGCCATTTATCTCTTCTCCCCTCTCCCTGCCTGTCATAGAGGGGGAAAAGAAGCACCAAGCAACATGGCGCTGCTAAGTTCAACCTATTAAGTGGAATAAGCGACAGATATGCTGTGCCAGGGAAAGCCTTTCACACTTGTGCAGTCTGCTACCCTTTCATCCCCCCACCCCCTTTTCCTGAGCCTCCTCACTCCCCTGTTTCCCACTTGAGCTCACTGGCAGATTCAGCCTGGGGGGAGGTGAAGTTCCCGCTCACCAGTTGCAGCGTTGGCCTCTCGGGCAGCAGCTCCGCTCCAGGGTGCGTCAGTCCTGCCTCTGGTGCTCTGCCTTCAGGTGATGTGAGATGTCTGTGTAAGCCCCCTGTTCCCCTCCCTCTATGGAACTTGCTACTAGATGGATTTGTAGGTGCTGTTGTTTTGCCTACAGTTAGCCTGTTGTAATATATCACACTAGACAAAAATATGGAAATAAGAGACAATATTCGGAAACAAACTTGTCATATCATTTGCCCTCCACTGCAAGAATAGCACATTAAACCTTGTGACTCTGAGTTGTCTTATTTGGTTGTTAAAGATGGTGAGGAAGAATCGTTACCTCTCCAGGCAGTCTTTTCCTAAGCTTTATTACCCCTGCTGCTGGAAATAGCCTTCCTGAAGGCTGGATCCTCCTTGCTGTGTAATTGGTGTGAGGAAGAGCATTCCTTCTTGATGGTCCTGAAACGCACCTTGCTTACAATTCTTTGTTCAGTCCTCTCCGGAGCAAACTGTGACTTATTTCTTTTCTTGCTTTGTGGTTCACACCATTTGATGTTTCCCCGTGCTGTCCTTTGGATTTGGTTGAATTGGTGTGTAGCTTTTTTGAACAGTAGCGCTCAAAAGCAGAGTCCTTGCAAGGAATCCGTCCTGGAGAGGTAATTCAATTAGACTTGTTCTGAAGACTCTGTTCCTGTATATGTATCTTTGGTGGTTACTATTTATGCAACAGCCTGGCACTGCTGACTTGTGATCAGCTGGTGCTTATCAGTAACCAGGAGGTGCTCTTATTCAGTGCTGCTGCCTTAGCAATGGTTCCCAGTCCTGTGTTTGTGCAATTGATTATCCCATGTGTCATTTATTGCTTCCTCCTCAATTACAAGGCCCATATGGGCAGTGTCAGTGGCGTGAGCTGGTTGCTACACCAAAGCTGTCCTAATGGTCTGCAGGAGCTGAGTGAGTGCAGGTGGGAGCAGGGTTTGGGCAGGCTATCGGTGTAGCAGTGGAGTTGACCATGTATGGTGGCTTTAACCCATCTGGAACGTCATGAGCGTGTGGTGTGTGTGCCTGCTGACTGCTTACACTCTCTGGATATTGAGTAATGTAGTCACAGCGGTTGGTCTGACCCTGAGTGCTAAAGTTTTCCAGGAGGTCCGGAAATCCTGTGCTCAAAATCCAGTAGCCAATGTGTTTTTTTCCAGACAACGTTTCCAAAGGGAGGAGGAGGCTATGGCCTGGAAACTTGGACATACAGTAGTTCTAGTTTGGTTATTTTGAAGAGTCATAAAGTTTGAGAAGTTTTCCAAAACCACCTTCTCCTTTCCTCAGACTGGTCTCCAGTGTTGTGAATTTATCGAGCAAGGACGATAGCTGACTTTGGTAGGTAGACGTAGCTGACTTTGAAGTTTGACTTTGACTTTAAGCTTTATCGGGACCCGTAGCCCTCGCGTTCCCTTTCTGTCTCTATGCAGTGTTTTCACAGCAGAATGTTGTGCTTTTTTTATTTTATTTTATTGCAGAGTGGCTTCCTGTTTATAACCCTTGCCAAAGCTCTGCTGGCAGGGATTCTCTTCATCTCCATCCCTTCTCCTCTGAGCAGAGACTAAATGAAAAGCTGTTATGTTGCAAGCAGAAGGAAACTAAAATTTTTTGTCTAGGCATAATGTAGATATTTTAGAGTAAAAAGAATACTTAGCCAGAAAAATGCAATGAAAACAATTGAGGGGGGAATTTTGTAACCTAACTGAAGTCATTTACAACATCTGTGCATGGGAGTGTTCTCCTGTTTGTTTCTGCAGTAATGACTGTTACAGAAGTCCAAAGTACGAGTTAGTCTACGGTAGTGTTCTTAATGTCGTGTTAGAATATGACTAACTTATTTCCTTTCTTTATCAGGTCTTTAAAGGAACAACTAATAAGCAACCCAGTATTCCAGACAAAATCTTACTCCTGGAGGATGTTATATTAATCAGTAACAAACCCATATAAAGATCCAGTGTGGGTAACACAGATACAAGGTGTTACTCTGCCCCTTAGCACCTGGGTTCCGCAGTGACAGAGATGAATAAAAACAATTGTGTCATTGTGATCTTTTCTTCCAGAGAGCAGCTCAGTTCTCTACTCAAGACATATAACTCTTACTATTCTGATCAAGAAAACCTGCAGCTGTCATATAATCAGGTGAGAAATCCATGCAAGAACAATGTTTCCTGCAAAAATCATAACACAGTGAAAAGACGTGTTACGATAGCCCCGGGTTATCTGCCCTCGGCAGAGACTGGAAGGACCTGTGTTGTACTGTGAAGCTGAAGGACTGATGAATGCATGTATCTTGTCTCTAATATCACAAAGTCCTTCGTTTCGAGGTCCAAACTACTTAACAGGTTAGGTTTCTGTTCTTCAGCTCTTATCAGGAACCAAAGGAGTACTCAGAGCAATCCTGGGGAAAAACAGTATGAAAATGGACAGTCCTCAGTTCTCTGTCCTAACTTACCCTGCAGTGACAGAGCAAGAATCACAGCAAGACTGGGTACTGACAATGTCTTTTGAGCTGATGCAGTGCCCTGCATCAACAAGGAAAACGTTATTAACTTCATCTTCCTCTTCAATCTGCAATCGTTTTTCCCTTATACCATTTCCTTAGTGCCCTGATTTCAAAGGGGTCAGCTGGCTGTATGTTATGGCCGGCTGTATGTTGATATATTTCTCCTCTTTTTTTTTTTGTTTTCAGCCAGAAGGCAGCAAACCATTTATTGAAGGAATTTTGTCAATATTTTGGGGAGTCCGACATCCTATCCAATTAAAAATTCAGGATGAGAAACAGATACCCTCTTTTGTTACCCTTAAGTCCACAGAGAATGTGGATCTTTTCACCAGTAAAAGGTAATGTATTAAGCTCTGTAAGGAGCAGGCTGTCTGATATTTCAAGACAACTTGCATGAGTGGCTGCAATGGGTATGGTGCTTGCATCCTAGATTTCCCAAAGGCTGCAGTGGTCGCTTGCACAGTAGGACGCAGTGCCAAGTGTAACGAGAGCTCGTCTGACCTTTCAACAGATTATGCTGTGCAGAAAGGATACATCTTTGTAATAGGTCTAGCTTTTAGCTTAAAAATAGTTAAGAAAGTGGAGGAGGAGCCTGCTCTTTTCTATATTGATCTTTTCCATGCAAGTATTGGGAAATTCAGGAGGATTCATCTTGTTGTGCCTCAAGAATGGCACTTTTGCCTCTCTCACTCTCAGAGCAGCAAAGCATAGCCCTTCCCCCAATAAATCCTCGGAGAAGCCAGGCTCCCATATCTGCATCTTTACTTGGGATCATGTGTGCTTAGCAAGCAACCTGCCACAAGTTGATCTACCTGTGCTAGCCCTGAAAGACACTGTGTTGGTAGGCATTGTACAGCATATGCAGCAAAAGCTGGTGATGTAGTGCTAAGTGATTCCCTATCCCAGATTACCTTCTCAGATATTCAATGTGTAACAACACCATTGCTTTGCAGGGCTAAGTTTTTAATTGAGGATTGAATATTAGCTTTGTCCTTGCTAAATCAGATGTTAAAAAGCATTATAAATGCACACAGATCAGCTGTTCCTTCAGGCTATTGCCTGTGAGATTGTGTATCTAAGTGCATTGGGTTGATCTGGATCCCGCTAGATTTGCCAGATATTTAAAAGTTGGTTTAGGTGCTTAGAATATTTTCTTTTCTCTTTCTAATGTTACTTCTCTGGCCTTGGCTGGTGAATGTTGGATTATATCCGACAAGCTGAAGGAGAGTTGTCTGTAACATGGAGACCGAGCCAATGTTTGCCCTGAATGACTTCCTGGTATATAAATTATATATTTAAAAGCTCTTTATCTTCATTATCCATTGTCTTGGGTTGCATGTGGTATATGAGTGAATTGCGGATTAAATTCTATGCTCACTGCAGCTGTGCAGTTCCAGCAAAGTTAGGGACAATCTTCCTATCTCTTGCTATTGAAATTAATGGTAACCTGACAGGAGTAACCAGAAAAGAACTTTTGTCTGAGGCAAACTTTGTTCACTTTGTCTACTCTGAATAGGCCTGCCGCTACTGTGTGCGTGTGGCCTGTAAGGTATGGACCATTCTGGCAGTTAATTTTGCTCTGCCTTAATGCTTCTTGGAAAATATACTACTGGTAACAGATTTGAATCTTAAAGTAAATATTAATTCATGATCACAGAAATATGAAACTGCCCAGACACGCTTTAAGGAATGCAGAACAGCCTAACTGTTTGATCTTAAATGAACATTTTAAATGAATGGAGAAAACGGAGATAGTTATTTGGCCTTTTCACTGGAGTTGGTTGAATATTATTTTATATATATGTATGGTCATATATATATATATATATATACACACACACATATACATATATATATAGGATTTTTAAAATATTTTTTCTATAAATTGGTTTATCTGCTGCTCTTGGTCCAAGCAGTAACTGGCCAAAAAATTTTTGCTAGAGTGTTTATTCAATGAATTATGGAAATAATAGGATGAAGTTGGTTTTTAAAACTCAGGCATTTATTTCAGACCTGAGAGAGCTAGATTGAATTTCCTGTTCCCCTACAGAATTGGTTTGGATAGCGCTAGGGGCTAGTACGGTAACTTTATCTTTCATGTATAGCATGTCTCCTGTGAATATTTAAACCACAAAGTTTTTTTCCTGTATGCCTATATGGTCTCTTACCTGTGAGCCTTCTAGGACATGGCTATGAAGCAGATAAAGATTTGCTGCAAATAGTTTAAGAGGCATCCTGCTTAACATTCAACAGGCTCTAAATAGGATTATGTGCTGCCTTTGGGATCTTTAGTCATATTATATTTTACTTACTATAGTTTTATGATGACATGAACTAAAATTACTGGCTTCATAGACCAGAATCATGTTCTATAAAGTTTTGAACAGGGATAGGAATGTATTATGTGAAGCCTGGCTACAGAATAAATTGCGTTCACTGAACTAATAATCAACTATAAGTATATGTTTGGTGTTTCAGAGGAATGACACGCTGGGGCGAATTTGATAATCTGCATCGTATTAGTGGGGAGACATTGAAATCTGCAGAAGAGAAGTTGAACCTGGAAAAAAGTTAGTGTTGATGCTCTTCTTACATTCCCTGGAAGTTCTTTGTTTTGTAACTGCAAAAATAATTTGACATATTAAGTCTTCCCTGGAGGTAAAGGGATATCTTCTCCTCTGTTTAACATCTGTTACATGTTAGTGAAATACTGAAACAGAAATGCTGATATACAACTGGTTAGTGAAAACAGTGCTGTACAGGTAACTTTCCAAATAGCCCATGCTAACAGGCTGTTTTCACCAAAGAAATTATTCCCCCAAAGTGTACAAAATAGCCATCTGTTGCCTGTGGCTGCTGCCGCCATTTAACTCTGATATGCATGTCCTTCCCCTGTACCCCTTTCTCCCCCCCTCCCCAAAAGTCCCCCACTGAGAACCTTCTTCCTGTGGTAGTATTTGCAAGGAGGGTAGAGCAGCTGTATAATATGCTGATGCGGTTTTGTTTTGTCCAGGTTATTCATGTTATGAAAGCAGCACTCTGAAGTCCAAGAGCGAGCAGGAACGTGACTCTGCTACCTTGCCCAGAGCCCTAAGCGATGCTGCGGTGGTGAGGAAGAGGACCAAGTTCCCCATGATAGCAAGAACAGAAGTGGAAACTCACAGGTTTTCTATTAATGGCCATTTCTACAACTACGAGGTGTGAATACTTGCTTATTTATGCTTGTTTTTCTTCACCGGAAGCTGGGTAGTGGGGCAGATGGAAATCTCTAGAGAGCTTTTGGTGCTCTCCTGGAGCCCCTCTTAGACAGGGAGAGGAGCCATCTCCTCTGTGTGGCCTGGCCTGTCTCACTGAGCCTTGGGCTCTGCCTCTGGGGTCTGGCTTGGGGCTGCTTTGGGTCCACTCGGGAAGGCAGGTTGCAGGTGTGCATGGCTGCTGGGTGGTGGTGGCATCTATGGTGGTCCCGCATCCTGCGGGAGGAGTCGGTTCCCTTCTCCTGAGCGCGCTGCCTGCCCTTCCCTTTATGGCACCAGTGGCAGCATACCTGACCGCTTTCTTTATCCTAGAGCTTTTCCAGGTTTTAGATCTGTTGGGTCTCAGCCATTGAGTACAGGAGTATCTCACATTCATGCCGTTTTGCTGCTGGTATTATTTTCTAGACATCAGTTTTTACCCCAGCTTTTGGATCAGAAACCAAAATAAGAATCAACAGCCGTATGAGAACAAGAGAAGTAATAGAGCAATTGCTTCGGAAGTTTAAGGTAACTTTTTGTGTCTGAAGAGGCGAATGCAGCTGCATTCTAGAAAAGTTAACTCTAGAGTGTTACACCAGTGCTGTCTGCTGCGAGGAAGGATGGAAATAACTGGAAAGACAGTGCACAAAACAGATCATAAAAAGAGAAAAACAAAAAACAACAAAAGAAAAACAGCTGGGCCATTTTTAAGCAGAGGGGGATAGGTGCTATTTTAGAAGTGCTTCACGACTATTTGACTCTAGGGAAAGTAGATGAAGTATATAGTTCTCAGAGAACGGCTTCTCTATAATCTCATTCACAGAAGGGGAAAACACTGCTACATCTTCAGCCTTTCCCAGCAGAGTATGTTTGTTTAATGCATGTGCCTATGCTTCCCTCTAGCGACAGGCCCTGGTAATAATGTTTTGCTAAAAATAAAAGGAATTCTAATTTAGTCGAGTGGTTGGGCTAAATAAATTAGACTAGATCTGGGCACATAGGAAGCTCCAGAAAGAGTTAAAAATACTATTCAAGATCAGTGCCATAATGTCTGGAATTCCTTTTCTTCTGGAGTTTATTTGGTACTGTCTTCTGTTAACATAGTTATATCTGGTCAGAAATATATTTACTATTGGTGCTTTGTTTATCTCAAATGTTTCATTCTACTTAAGCTACACAGACAATTAGCAAAAATAATAGCAAAATAATAGAAGTAAAATAATAACTTATCTAGAGATGTTGCTATTGCACAATGACCTTGAATGGACGGTAAGAATCTGAGGTGAATTAGTAAAAGGAGAACTTAACTTGTATGAGTAGTAACATAATGGTATTACTAAGAATGTTGTAAGGTTGTAGAGAGTCAGTCAAAAAATAAGCGTGTTCAAAATGACTGCTGTTTTCCAAACATGGTCATGCAGGATAGTGGATGGGAAGAGATCCCAGATTTTTGTCTTAATGCCAGTACTCTTGGTAAATCTGATTGTCACCTAAAAACAGAGTTGTATGAACTTATTATGGACTTTTCAAGGAAACAATACTGCACGGATCTGTTTTTTTCTAAGATCTAGTGCTGTTTTGGGAAATAAAATGGTAGCGTTCATAATCATGACGTTGAGCACAGGGACAATGAAAATGGCAGCATAGTTTGATATCTTATTTAAATCTAGAGTATGTTAGCTCTTCTCTAGAGGGGGTCAGTCTCAGATTTGGACTTCTGAGTTGAGAAGCATGCTGAGTATCTGCTGTCAATGAAACACTAGGGAAGCATATCCATCAGTCTGAATTGACTTTGGTTTTTGTGTTTAACAGATAGAAAACAGTCCACATGAATTTGCACTTTATATTATCCATGCATCAGGAGGTAAGCCAGACACTGCTGTATGATGCCTTCCCCTCTAATTATCCTCTGTGCTTGTGTGGGGACCACTCACCTTGGAGTGACAGGATCAGGCACTGGTATCCATCCTTGCCCTGATGTGCTGAGTGCAGGGTGGTATTTCTGCCTTTGTGGAGACACTTGGAGATGTGTACTGCTCTGACAGAGGGGAGAATTGGAGTAGTTATTTTCTGGGTGCTTTCTTCTGCAGAGTCCTGTAAGCACAGCTGGCTCAGGCAAATAGACGTTAGTCTTTAATTACAGTAAAGACTGTATTTAAGATGCTGTTTAGCCCTAACTTGTGTTATGCACAGCCACATGGTATCTCTACTGATGGCAGGCACCAAGTGGTGGTGTTGTACGATGTTTTATTTAAAACTATGGCATAAGGTTTTCAGAGAGTGCTAGGAGATAACCAGAATGGCTTTTAATGCTAGCTTGATGAACAGATTTCATAAACATGTTTCATTTGGACTTTACAACTTTGGATTATAGTCCTGGATCCCGGACATCAAGTCAGAAGTACTCGATTTTTATGGGAAAATGTACTTCTGCAGCCTAGTTTACTCTTTATTTTATCAGGAAAAAGGCAATTTTATCTTTCTTAAAAATAACAGGAAGCATGGGAGAGAAGACTGAGGAGAAGGTACTGTAAATGTCAAAATGTCAAACTGAAAGGGTATTTATGCTGTATGAAAATTGTAGGAATTTATGCTGATATGAAAATTATGCTGTAGATTTTTGTTTTAGGGAGGTAGGATCAGGCTGATTGGCCTGGAATCAGTTTCTTAAATGCATACCTGGTCACCTGAATTGTAAATCGTGTCTATTGTTGTGTATGCAAATTTCTTCCAAAATGTATGGTACGTGTTTAGGTGCCACATCCTCCTGCAAATATGTATTTGAGACTTGTTATCTCTTATTCATACTAGTCAAAGATAAGTTCTTTGCCAAGGAAAAAAAACCTACGGATTGCACGAGGAATTTGAAAGCATGGTGTTATGTCCTATGTAACATCTCGTTTGTTTTGCATCTCAGAAAAGAAGCAGCTGAGGAGTGGGGACATTCCCTTACTGCACAGACTCTTACAGGGGCCTTCAGAGAAGATTGCCCAGTTTTTTCTCATGGACAGGGATGCAGAGGAGGTCAGCAGTGATGTACGTATACCATCATTCTAATTGTTCATGGTATTTTGCCTAACTCACTGCATACTCACTGATGTGCATTTCTTGTCTTCATGATAGGTTGCTCAATACATTCAGTTTCATCTTCCTTTTTTGGAAGCAATTCTGCATAGACTGAATGAAGAAGAAGAACAGGAGATTCAGCAGACAATTGCAAAGTAAATAGCAAAATTAGTGGGGTCACTGTCAGTCCAAGAGAATTACCCTTGTGGGTTGGCTCAAGAGGTGAATGCAGTAGGGGATAGTTTAAGTGCTGTACTATGACTAGTTGCACTAAACTTTGTGGATTTATAATCCTTCTTACATCTCACATCTCCACATCAGCTGTTTTTCTTAAAGATTTCAGAATAAATGCTAGATTTATACCTATGACATTTGATAAAGATTTGGCAGAAATAATCCAGTGATGAGGGAGCTCGAGGGTCAATTCTGTTTTATTTCATTTGTCTTCTGAGCCTTAGGCTACTTTTTGAGCTTATATTGGCTGTGATCTATTTCCCTGGAGAGTATAAATGCACTAAACATTGTGGTATTTAGGTAGCATAGCATTTCATCTAGATAGGTACAAAATCCTTAGTGTCCCTTTAAAAACTTCACTTCTAATTAATGGCTTGGGTTCTTCTGGTAGTAGCTTGAAATACACAACAGGTATGAGGGCCTGTTAGAAATGCGCCAGTATTCCTAAATGCATAGGAGACCTGAGGTCAAAAGCAATGCCAGTCCACACCAGCTGAGGATCTGTAATCAAACAACCATCTGATTTTGAATGGAAATGGCCAGGGAATGTAAAGAAAAAAATAAACAACAGTTGCCATTTTCTATCAGAAAAGCTTTCATTGAAGTATTTTCACCCATTTGAATAGCATGTTAAAGTTTGGGTTGAATTTTGGCAGGGTTCTGTGTTTACTAAATGCATTCTCTCTCTCTCTCTCTCTCTCTCCCCCCCACCCCCACCCCCATCTCAGATACCTTAAAGAGAAGAGTATGATATGCCAGCACCTTCGCAGTCGAACTGTTAAAAAAACAGAGACTGCTGTTTGATATGAATGGCCTTTTGTGAATACTACCCACAAGCTGTGCCAAAAAACAGTCAGTATGTTGTCTTGATCTTGGAAATATTAAGAACATGCCATAACTGAAGAACACTTACACCACAAGGGCATTTAAATTCCTAAAGTTTGTTTGATGATTATGCAACTGAGACTGAACCTGCTTCATTACAGCTCTGGAATACAAGTTGAGAACCACCTTAGTAGATGCATGAAACCCTCCAAATGACAAATGCTGACTCTAACTCTGACCTGCAGAAGGGGGAAAAAAATCCTGCGAAAAGCACAAGGCTTTGAAATCAACTTATTTCCATGCCTTTACCAAAAGTGTTGCATAAAAGAAAAATGTTGTAATAACCAATGTGTTAAGCAACCAAAAAAAAAAAAAGGAAGTACATGCATTTTCTTCTATTAGAGAAATGCTGATTTCTATTAGAAGGAAGCTATTTAGTAGATTTAAGTGACAAAGGATATTTAGGTATCTAAGACTGCATTTAGGCTTTTCAGTTAACTTGAAAAAACACCTACACAAGCAAGGTGCCTGAAATACCACTCGTTTTAGATTGATCATTACCTAACTCACTTAAGGTTTGAGCTACCACTTGCATAACAGACACGGAAAATCTTCTGCTTTATAGCTACTAAACTCTTCAACGTAACAGTGAATTTCTTTCTCAAATGCCTATGCCTCTGGAACTGTGAAGTAGGAGCTCTTGTGAAGTTTTGTTGCATCTGCTTGATCAGCTTCTGGATGACACCTCAGCAGGTGTTTTTTTTTGTTGTTGAAACGAAGTGATTACTTGTGCCTCTTCATGTTTTATGTTTGAAGACTAAAGTGAAAAGTGTTCAGTGAGAAAGGTTGAGAAGGGTTGTAATTTTAGTCATGGCCATTGTGGGGGTGTGAAAGGTTGGGCTGGCATCCTTCCCCTGTGATCCCGGAGATGCAGTTTTTGGACAGTGTGTGTGGCCCCAGCACAGTGCACAGTAGTCAATTATTAGGTCCTGTCCAGTCAAGTCCTGCTGAGTAGTAAAGCTGAAGTTGGCAGAGATGTAAATAAAATTGAAGTCATGCACAAACTGCCCTCCTGTATTGGTTAGCTTTTATGTGGTACCTGTGTTCCTCCTCAGCTCTCACTTGCTTATGCAGAAGACAAAGAATAAATACTTTGTGAGGGAGGGAATCGCAGCGCGCAGAAAGTGTTGCTTAGAAATCATGTGGAATAAATGAGATAAGATCAAAACTATTCTCCCCTTGAGGTGGTGTTATGTGGATGGCAAGTCAAAAATGAAAAGCAGATGTGCTAATTGAAACTATTGTGCTTAGGGCAAGTAGTTTATATTAATGTACAGTCTGTTATAACCCTATCCATGAAGATTTATGACAGAGGAGGACAGAGGGTTAAGATACATGCTACTAAGAAGCAGTGGCCTTAGAGGTGTGAATGTCAGTTCCTTGAAGTAACAAAAGCATGCATGGAAGTGTCACTGGAATTTCCCAAGGGAACCATTCAAATATTTATTTGCCAAGTTTTTGGAGATATGAAGCTCTGTGCAAGACATCAGCGATTATACTTACAGGGTAAGGTCAAATTTTAAGGAAGTCTCAAGTAGTCTACAGTTCAGTTACTGCTGTTGCGCACAACAAAGCCTAAGTTTGCAGTTTTAGCAGTCATACGTTGAGCTTTTGGTTCATCTGAAGCCAGATACATCTTGGGCACTAGCTGGCTGTTCTCAGGCACTATGTAACTGCTCAAGTCAGTATAGGAAAAGGTTCGTTTACTTGAATTTCTGTCTTGGATCTATCTAAATGGCTATACTGAACAAATGACAACTCAGCTGGAAAGCAATATTCAGATAGCTGAAGTTCATGAGCAGGGAGAAAAGATATTCTGCACTTGTTAGAGACTTATAGCTGCTACAGAGCTCTCTGCCTGTGCTGCTGTGCTTGCTCATCGTTTGAACCAGAGCAAAACTGCTCTTTTCATTCAGTGGGCGCCTGTGGAGAGGCTGAATTTCACCACAAGTATATTAAGCAGTCTGTGATCCCATCAAGCTAGTGAAGGATGGGGCAAAAAATGAAATATGGGAATGAGCTTTTATTCTTGTTTCTTGAATAACTTGTTTTCATATTTTTTAAAAAAGTTCTTTTTTCTGGTATATAATTGGAATGGAAGTATTAAGTCACTTATGCGGACTGGTCTATATCTGCTACTGCTTCCATTTAGTAAATACTTATGTCGTTGTATGAAGGTATATTATGAGAATATTGGAGCAAGAAACTTTCCTAATTCATTGCCCTGAATTATAAATATTCAATGCACAGACCAGGTGGGAAAGAGGGGAAATGTGTTCAACTAGGTTCTCCAATTCTTTGTATATGTACACAGTTTCTAAATTGAGCTTTTTTGCGATCATCTAACTTCAAATACTTGAATCCCCTGAAGTTCATTTGTCTGGCTGAATTGGGACTAAGTCAAAGATAGTGGCAAAAGAACTGCGGAGCCTGGCACAGCTTATCTGTAGCACGTGCTGGGTTTTAAGCGCTCGTGAAATAAAGCTACCATGTCACTGTGGTGACAGTTCTTCATAGATACTGCAGTCATTTAAATTATGTGATGAATATAGACAAGAACAAGGGAAGAATTTATTCCAAGCCATTATTGGATATGGAAAGTAACACAGTAATGAAACATGAAAGTGAATACAAAAGTAGAGGTTTCTTTTGAATTCAGGGCCTAAGACATTAACAATTTAAGGAAAGCAAACAAATACAGTACAGGATTTATCTTAATTTTCTACTATCATGTTACACAGTGAGAAAAGTCTTAAGTCACCACTGGAATTCAAAGAAAGGAAAAACCCAAGCCACCTCCACGTATTCCAGAGGACTGATTTTTTTTTTTTCTTTTTTTAATCAGAACCTAAACTACTAAGAAAACGTGTGCTAAAAGAAACCTCAGATAGTCATCTAATCATTTTCTGTATTCAAAACGTCAGTGACGTTTACGTAGTGCCTGTCCAATATGTGTTTATCTCTTTGAGAGCTCCACAGTGATGGAGGCTCCTCGCTTTTCCCAGGCTGCTGATCCTCGGGCTTTGTTCTCCTGACTGTGCACAGGGTCAGGCTCCTCTCTGTCCCGGGATTGGCCTTTTGTGTATATCAAGATTTGCATGTTCATGCAGCACCTCTTCCTTAAGCCAAGCAGCCCTAATCTATTTCATCTTTCCTTTTCTTTCTTTTTCTTTTTTTCCTGAATCCTTGACTGTTATCCCTTGCTCTCTTTTCAGCTGAATTTTTTGCGAGAAGTGAAATACCCAAAGTTTTTTTTTTTAATACTCCAGCAAAGTCTTTGCAGTGGTGGGGAAAATGGAATAACGATGCTGTGTGTGCTACAGGCCATGCTCCAGTTCATACCCCCCCAGCAGGCAAGCAAGATGTTAGTCTTTTGACACCAGCAAAACACTGGTGACTTGGTCAGCTTGTGATCTGTTGCAACTGCATTGTTATCCACACAAGTCCCTAATGAGTAGTTTTCCTGTACTATAATTCTGCAGCTGCTTCATCATACCAATGTTATATGTTAAGTTTGTCCTCGTATAATGTACATAGGTTTTTCGAGGCTATTTCTGTAATGTGCCAAGATGGCTTTGACATTAAAAATGTTGCAAATAAATTTGCAACAGCCTTGCTCCAGCTGGCTGCTAGCAGCAAATTTAATGAACGTGTTTTCATTTTGTTACTGCTGTAGCTAATGAAAATATGGCCTAGCAATAGATGCAGGATAGAGTCCAATGGGACTCCATTTGGCCAGCCTCTTCAATTTGACTTTAAACACTTCTCTTTGGTAGTAAGACTTCGACCAGGTTTGCATGCTATATGAGATTTGTATGTGCAGTTTTTCCTTCTCTTATGTATGCTTTTAAATGCCAGACTCCAAATATAGGATGACTACATCTAGGTACAGCTACTTACAGAATCTGATATCTGGGTATCTACCTATTTCTCTGAAAACCTTTGGCTTGAAGGTATATTTCTTTTAAATATCAGTTTTCAGTATTTGGTTTTTAACATATGCCTTCTAGTTTCTTTTAATATAAGTAGAAAGTAAGTAGAAACTCTAAATGGTGTTTGCATGTCAAATCACCTCTAGTGTAAATTTGGCGGCTTTCCAGCGCTTTCTCTAAACATTTGCCTGCTGACCAAGAGTTCGAGTGTTTCATATTCTGTCCTTCCTGTGACATTGGGCTAATCTATTTTCTTCATAGTCCTGTTCAGGGTGCCCAAGATAATCTTCTGTGCTCGCTTCTGCTCACCTTTATAACAGCCCTTAGGCTGCTACAGCAGCCCGTGTTAGTGAATGAATGTGCTATGTTTCAAGGACAGTGCTATAAAAATGCAAAAATAATCACTTGATAATTCAAAAACGATTTGGAAGTGGTCAAAGGCAGATGTTCTTAATGGCATTTGTATTTATACTTGATACGCTTAAGATTGAAAGACTTTTTTTGTTTTGTTGTTGTTATTCTCTCTTGTGTACAAGAAGAATAATAATCCTTCCCATATGCTGATGGCCATATCTATGTAATTTATTTTTTCAGTGGATTTATTTAAAGCAGGACAAAATGTGCCTGGACACACCAAATTGGGATTAAGTTCCTTGTTTCAGTTTAACTTTTAAGTATCCTTAATTATTTTGAATCAAATTGATATGAGCCAGATATGAAGTTTGCATGCGGGTTTCCCCCCACACCTGAATTATGTTGAGACACGTACCTAATTTTCATTTCAGCTTGTAGAGCAGTTTTACAGCTCCACAGCTTAGGAGAATTTTGGTGGGAATTAGATAGGTTTTTTTCTGAGGCAGCTCCTTTACCTTGGTCGTAGCAGAAGGTCAGTGACAGAACTATAGCTGGTGTAAATTGTCATGTAGATGTGTATTTGCAACAAGTAAAGAGCAAAAATGTAGTGTTCTCTACTGTTGCAATTCATATGTTCCTATTTATACTTCATGAATATTCAGAAAAGGTATTCTCACTGTTAAAATTGTGTGACTTCATATCATTCAGCAAATACCTTCCAGTATGTTATGTAAGTGCTTTATGCTGACAACATTTTTTCACTTCTTTTTATAAGTTCTGGACCCTGAAAAAAAAACAAAACATCTGTGAGCAATAGAAGCGGGATGGTAAGATACATGTGAACAAGTTACACGAGTGTGGCAGCAGTAAGTCAATTTCTTAATATTCTTTGCTCTTTGTGTACAAACACTGGGTATGCTGAGTGCATTTACATAGGTCACTATGTTTAATGTACTTCTCGCTTTTTCTGCTCAGTTCAGATTGTCTTAGAAAGTTTTAATTGTTAGGATAAGACTGAAATAGTTCTATTATGAAGAGTTATTAAGATGGTTCTTTGCAGCTATGCTCTTGGAGTTGATTCAGAGGCAGAAACTTATTGACAAAAGTGAGTATTTTTCTGTGTTTTATCCTTTAAAGGAAAGCACAGCAGATGTTTCAAGGGTCAGAGATAGCTAAACTTCAGTTAAGGACTATGTCGACAAAAGAGGTAAGAAGTAGGGAGAAGCAGATTTACTAGCGGGTAGAGAGAAATGAAAGTAGCTCTGCAATATAAAGTTAAACAAGCTAAAATAATATAGGAAAGAACAGAGGAGAAAGTCAGAGGTGGGGGAAAGAAATAGAGGAACTGCTTTGACCTAGTATCGGGGAAATCCTTTCCCTCCCTATCACACACAAACTTTTGAAGAGAGAAATTTAGTAAAGTACTGTTAGTCAGGGAAAGAATTTAGCCTGTATCCTTCAACAGTGCAAATCCCAGTGATTGCCCAGAAACTATAGGTGTAGCTAAGCTCTATATGTATAAATTGCTGCATATAAGCACAAAGTTAATTAGGTTTTTCTCTAGCGATCGTTCATGAGTGAACTGGAACATACATCTACCTATGGAGGCAATGAGGTTGTCTTTGGAAACATAACTGAATGAATCCCGGTTAGTCACATTTTGCTTTGGTTTCCTAATGGAGAAATCTATGTTCCTGTGTATGTTTCATTGTTTCTGTCTTGACTCAGAATGTTTAGGTGAAAACAGAAATGAGATACCTCTTTCACAAAACATGCCTCGCGGTTTTCTTCTTTGCAGCACTGCTCCCTCATGGCAGTGAAAGCTGCAGTGACAGAAGTCAGCTGCTCGTGTGTGATGTGGGGCTTGTATTTGATGAGGTTGATGAGCATTCTGCAAGAAAAGCAAAGCAAACCTGGTGAAGCGGGGAGATAAGCGTGTCACGTACAGAAGCACTCTTCAAACATCAGTCCTGCAAAATTGCTCTTCTGTTACCTCCTTTCTATAGTCTTATCTTTCTTAAACACCACCCAGAGGCAAGCTGGCAGCAGGGAGCTAATATGTGCACCAGTGAATTAAAAAATTCATTTTCGAAACTGCTCCACTGTGAATGGATATACAGTTGGTTTAGGTGTGCCCTCCAGAGGGTTCAGGGCTGTATCGGTTCACCATAGCCCAAGTTAATGGCCAAAGAGCCCGTTTCTTGCAATGGGGGGGAGAGAGTGGGTTTTGAGCGCAAAAGTTTTCTCTGACAAAGGCACACCAAGCACCCAGAGCTTCTCAGGGACTGAAGGAGTCACTGCGATGAGAAAAATACATGGGCTGTCCCATTCTGGCAAACTCGCATTATTCAAGCCATGAAAGTAATGCAATATGTGAGGTAGTAGCTTCCTTGTTCTCCTGGAATCTGTTTTGTGATGTCGCGTGCAGTTTCTCTAAGGGGGAATCGGGATGTTTCTGATCTCAGTGTTTTAAGCTTTGTAACAGCATTGCCCCAGCCTCCCACAGATGGCTTGGCGTGAAGACTTAAAAATACAAAATCAGGGGAATCATGCAGGTATCAGAGGCCCAGTTCTACTGTTTGCTACTGTAATGTACGTATCTGAACGTGCGCTCAGTTGCCCTTCTACAAACCTAAGGTATGTGTCCACATAGGCCTCTAAAATTTTAAAATCATATACCCACTTGATAACTCTTAAGCAGGGCTAAAACTGAGAAAACACTGTCTTTGTTCTATGAAAAATAAATTTCTTAAGGGCCTGTTGACTCAGGCACCCAACTGTGTAGGAATCGGTTTTGAAATTTTTGTCTTGATGTCAGTAGGGAGATGAATCCTACTGTTTCCATTCTGGTGGTGTATGTACCCGTACAGCTGCCCACCTCTGAAAGTGACTTTCCTCTAATCAAAAGCAAATAAGTATAGGTTGAACCAGACAGCAAAGAAACCGGGGCATAGTGTGAGAGGGAAGAAAACAGCAGCTTGGAGGTAGAGGCGGGATCTGGCTGTTTTTACATGAAGTGTAACAGAACGAGAGGGGCAAGGTGAGCATCACCAGGAGGACAATACTAAACAGGGATAACAGAGTAAACGAGCATATCTTACTCCTGCTTCTTGTGCTGTAACTTTTCCTCTTCGGTTGTACACAAGTCTTCGTGGAAAGTGAACAGACCAGGAGTCAATGATAAGGGCACGTAATTCTCATCAATTTCTAGTTTCCCCATGCATGGCCGCCTAAGCGCATAGGAGCTACTACAGCAGTGGCAAACACTTGGGTTTATAGGATTGGCCAGGTGTCTTCTATGGGGGGGGGGGAGGGGAAAAAAAGCAATTGTACATTATTGCTTCATTTTTCAAAAAACCCTGAAATAGATGCTACTTTTATCTAAGTTATAAATAATAATTGCAAATTTTATTTAAATTAGATTTTTGTAATAGAGATAAGTTGATTTCTCTACTGAATGCTGACTTTTGTCATTGAAAAATAGTCCAGATTTTTCAAAATGAATATGCATATGCAGCTTTAGGCACTGTCCTTTGTGCATACAAATTATGCCATTTCCTCATGAAACCTGACTTGCATTTGATTTGTTTTCATCAGCAGGGTTTCTGTGGGTGTGTTCTACTATTGCTGTGAAGGTGACTCCGAACAAACGCGTGCCTGGAGGGCAGGCTGATTCTTTTTGAGTACTTTGGCAAGTGGGCCTGGAGAACTCTTATGAGAGTGCTATACAGGACTGATCCTTTTCATGAAGGGGTACAGCTTCAGGCATCTAGAAAGGATTAATTTCTCAGATAAGAGATCATTAACTTCCAAGGAAGCAGGGTCAGATCCCCAGCCCTGTGTAACTGTTAACTGCCTAATCCTAGCCTGACAATTTCCTGATCCTCAGATAGTGTAATTCAAGCTTTACCTTCAGTGAAGTTGAGTCATGCTCACTTCAGCCATGTATCTGGAAGGATATCCTCCAGCCAGCTCAATCGCTCAGTGAACGTTCTGCTCATTTACAGTACTCTGGGTTGTTGGAGCCTGATGGCAGCAGGAGTAGTGCCAGAGCTTCAGCAAAAAGTAGGACCCAAGCTGAGAAGAAAAAATACTCACGTTTTCCTCAGCACAAGGCAATAGCTTGTCTTGGCTTAACTGGCAGCATTTGGAGCCGATTGTAGTCATTTGCTTGGTGAATTTTATCAGCTCTGCAGACGTTAGCTGAGGCATCTTCTTGGTGAAGCTCATGAGAAGCCTGAAATGATAATGTCTCTTATATTGGTGCTTTATTTCCATCAGCCAGTAGCGAGCAAGCCTTCATGTATGTAAAGCTTCAGCTAAACTCCAAAGAAGAACATTAATTTGTACAAGGACAGGACTAAGCCTAGTGTTTATAAACATATATAGGCAAATATAGCATGCTGTGTTAGTGTGAGGGCTCTCCTTTCTCTGATGAGTCTCTTACCAGGTTAAACAAATAAAATTAATGATCATTGAAATTGAATTCAAGTGACTTCTTGACACTTTGACAGACTAGATTAGGGCAGAAGATAAGCTGAATAAAGTTCACTTTTTTTCTCTTAGAAAAATTTTACTTATTATCAAACGTGGCCAGGAAAACTGTAACAATTGACACGATAGGCAGAAGAAGCATGCCTCTTTCTTGGAAACCTCCAGGTCCAAAGGTCTTTTAAAGACAAATGTGTTAGGGAGTACAAAAAGCCCTATATATCTCTCCAGAGAAGGAGAGCAGAAGCCTAACTTTAAGTATGCAAGCAGTTTACTGGTTTCACTGAGATTACTTACATACTTCACATTAGGCACATGCTCATTAACGTTGCTAATAGTGGCCAAAGTTCCTCCACACGGCTTGTGCCTGCATGTTGTTGAGGAGGATCTACCGCTCAGACATAACCTACTTTTCATCTAGTCAGGCTTTGTTCTGTCTACTGTAGTTAGATTTTTTTTTTTTTTGTTACGGTTGTTAATATTTACATCTGCTGCAGGAAGTGGGTAGGGAGAAGCCTTTTGCAAAGGGCATAGCAACTGCCTTTTGGCCAGTTTTACAGCTTTTCAGTAACAGCTTACAACTCGAAACGCTGCTCGAAAGTAAGAAGCTATAAAACTTAGAAAAATTAGAAAACTTGGTATTTTAGACAGGAGATTAAACAGGTTGTCATTGCACTGCTTCATGAGTTGGGATAAGAATAGAACTAATGAGAGGACATGACGTTGTATTGGAAAAGGGGGGGAAAAAAGTCCTAAAAGCTATTAATGTTTTGGACCGAACATTCAGATGATATCACCAAGCCTAGCTTTTTTGACGCCCGTGGTTTTACTCCAGCCAAAGTTGTGCCCAGCTGGTAAAGGAATAATGTAATCATTAAAAAAATTAATACTCGTTTTGGAAATAGTAATCTCCTTTCTCCTTGTAGATGTCACAACTTGTCTTCATCACACTTTCAGTTTCATGAATGTGTTTCTTCAGTTCTTCTTCCTGAGGAAAAGAAATTAATTGGAGGAATCATTGTATCAGGGGAATGCAGAATGCCTTTATTGTATCATAAGGCCATGATACCCCTAGCTCCATCTTATCTGATATCCACCTCCTTTGTATTTCCATTAGAAAATCTTCACCTGTCTGAAACTGCTGAAATGCCTTAATGTGATTCATGTCTACCTTCAATTACCTTGAAATACTTAATTTCATGTAAGTGATGGAAACTTAGGCCTGAGACACAGGGTGCGTTACTACAGTGCCAGGAACAGCCCCTTGCAACACCTCTGCAGGGAGAGAGGGTAGGAGGCCTGAAGCTGCACGTTTGCACAAAGAGAGGGTTTTGCTTATATCCGGTCCCCAGACAGAAGGTCCCTTTTACCCTGGAGGCCTGGAGTCTTTCCCACCTACCAGCTCTCTTTCAATTTACCGGCCTCTTCCTGGGGGACAGGTAAGGAAAGGAAAGGGAGGAAAGCAGAGGGCTGCCGGGGGCTGCTGCAAGGGCATATCCTGCCCCGACTCTCTGCCAAGCCATATTTATTTCCCCAGCAATCCCAGACTCATTCAAGCAATTGAAGACTGTGAGAGCTCTGATTGTTTTTTCCATACAGGAATCAGTCAGGTCTTTTAATATTTGTCAGTTTTGTTACAAGGAGCTGTGGGTTCCAGCTCTAGACCTGGAGTGTGGAAATTCTCTAATTAGCCAGAACCAGTCCTGTGGTAACGTGCTTGAAACCATGAGTGCATTGCGTGAAGCACAATAGCACTCACCCCTCTCCTGCAGCAGTCATCTGGAGAACTGGTTTTGCAGCACTTTTCCAGTAAGTCCTCATATCCTTTACCAATTCTTAAAAGCATTTGAGCAGAAAACTCAGGATGTCTTCTGGAATATTCATAGAGAAACCTGTAATACATGGAGTATGTCAGTGTTAGGAATTAGAAATAAGCCAAAATAAGTGCAAAGCAAGAGATGGGCGTGATAAAGTCAGCAGGGATGCTTTCAGGATTGCTTTTTCTGACCTTCTGCTCACTGGGCGGTTCACAGAGACCCAGCCCGAGAGTCAAACTGAACAGAACGCCGCTGACGGAGCGCGGCACTGCCCGAGCAAGTCCTGGCCGTGTAACTGTCCCAGTTTAGGCTTAGCTTGGGTCAGGCATAGCTTACAGCTATGTGGGTATTTTATTTTTTTTAATTCTAGCTAAATGCTGATGAAGTAATTTCCAATAACAGACCAGTTTCTCAGGAGATGCAGAACAATTGGCTCTACTGAAGCGATCACCTTACAGAGCTGCAACTTGCCCAGTCTTTTAGATGCCCCTTTCATAAACAGGAATGATGTAATTTGTTTGGAGTAAGTAAAGTCTTGGTCTATGGGACTTGTACTGTTTCTGTTGTAGCCTGAGGAATCTTTGCCCTGGGGTGTACAGGTAGGATGGAGATTCACAGCACTAAGGAACTTGGCTAAAACAGATGTGGACCAAACCTGTTTGAATAAAGATGCGAGTCTGACTTAGAGAAGTGGTTTTGAGTTCCCACTTAAGACTGAATCAAAGCTATATTTTGTGTCTGAGATCAGAATTGATAGTATCTAAATTTCAAGTCCTTTTCTTCAGTTTTGTCCCTAAAATATATCATGCCCTGTTCTGCTTTTGTTCGCGTTCCTTGCCCTCTAGGGTTGAGAGGTATTTTTACTCAGATAAAATTCCATGGTATCTCAAGCCTATGTGCTCACAGAGGCAGGCAAGTCTGAAGTTGATGAGCCAAGCTTTAACTTCCAAACTGGCATTTTTTGACCCAAGTCATGATACGGCAGAACTGGAGAAGAATAGAGGAAGACCTGTGTTACCTGGCTAAATGGGTATCTTTTTCCTGAGAAAAGCGTTCACATACTCCTTTGTCTTCTATAAACTCTCTGATGTGGGGGGACAGATCTGCAGGTTTGTCGTCATTTTCTGCGTTAATTATACATTCACTTCGTTCTAAGAGCGGCTTTTCACAGCAGTTCTTAATTTTGCTTGATATGCTCTCTTGGTTGGTGCAGACAAAGGTTAGAATCTCTTCCTGTAAAGTAAAGAAATGAAGAAAGGAAATTTTGTCTGATTTTGGTTTCTTTTTTCCCCAATTAGGAAGGTTGGTCAGTTGAACCCTTGGCTAGACCAGCCCATCCCATTATTTATTTCATGTAGCAGAGGCTGGGAACACACAGCTAAGGTCAGGCTTCAGTTAATACTTAGAAACCTACTAAATAAGTTAGCAGTTATGTTCATCTTGTGCCACTTACGCTTTTTTTTTCATAAGGCTCATTTTTTATTATCTCCATTTTACAGACAGAGAAGGTGACACCCAGAGAGAAGAGACGGTGCAGTAGATGTTTGTCAGAACAAGGAAAGGGATTGCAAGCCTATTGCTCTGTTTGCTGCAGCCCCTTACCTGACATTTCATAGGTGTTAAGTATCCACCCAAAGGAAGAAGTTAACTGTCGAGAGATACAACGCGGACGAAAAGTGAGATACGTGGACTTGATACGTAAGAAGATAGACAACAAAAGGACAGACAGATGCTATGTTTTGTTGAAAGTTATGTGGGAAACATGTGGCACAACTAGGGGCTGCAACCAAATCCACTGAGGCGGGTTTAGAAAGGGCAGAAAGATCACCTGTGTTGACCTGATGATATCATGCCAAAAAGAGTGAGACGGGAAAGATCAATCATATTTTTAGACTGAAGGACTAAACTTCCATTTTGAAGAGCAGTTGATACAGCACAGGAGGAAAAAAATGTGCAAGAAAAAAAGAGAAAACGCATTCAATTTCTGCAAATGTATATGCCTTAAGTGAGTTTTACCTTATGGTGCATACAATCCAGCATGTCTCCACGACAGCAGTCCTTGTGTATGTTAGCAACATCCATTACAAGCTTGCTAATGGTAGCAAAATCAGCCTTAGGGAATTTTTGGCTTATCTGAGCAAGTTTCCTGGAAAGAATAAAGATAGGCATTGTTTATATTCACAATGTGAGACTGCGATAGCGACCATTTTGCTGTGGAGAACGGTATCCAAACTACTTAGGAAGAGTCTCTCCCTGCTTCCACTGAAGTTAATAAATGTCCCTTGAAACCGAGAGCTGACATTTGCAGAGTTTTATCTAAGGATCCCAAGTGAAATTCAGTGTGAGATGAGAGAAAGAAATGCAGTAGAGGAATACGAAATGAGAGGAGCAACCTTGTGCCAAAACTGGATAAGGTAGCTGGGCTGTAATCTGCTCCAGGTCACGCTAACTTCCCTCACAGAGAACTTGGTTCATTTCAAGCTTGCTTTTAAATTTTTGATGGCTAATGGCAGTTTTTAAGGAAACCGTGACTACGGTCATGCATATCTTTCCATTCCTAATCTGCATTCCTTGTTAGGTAACGCTGTTGGTGATCTGCATGCAAATCTGACATGAAGAGTATTCACAGCCATTGTACCATGGGCAAGTGTGGATCCACTCTCAGCTAAAATGTGACACCCACGCTCTATTTCACAACACACATGCCAAAGAGTCTACTGCAGCAGTTCAGGAGGCATTCAAAGGAGCAATCCTAGCAAGCCTTTACATCTTGGCAGTCAGTGAAGCTGTTCTGCAGCCAAAGCAAACAAAATGAAGCCTTTTTTTGATTTAAAAAAAGGGGAAGACTCACAGAGCCTTTACAGTTCTTTCTCCAAATTTCTTTAAGATTCCACATGTGTGCTCCTGCTTCAGGCCATCTTCTTTTATTGGCTTCATCACCTTTGGTGCCTGGTATAAAGAAGATGCAAACCGTTAACGTTGAAAAAGAAGAGAAGACAATGCTTCATGGTAAAATTTACTATGTTGAGTTTTTTAATAGAGATTTTTAGTAGTGAAAGAAAATTGCTGTTCAATATCCAGTAAAGCAGAAGAAATAACTGTTGTCCTTGCTATTCAGTCACCAGCCTTTATTAAACAAGAGTTGTATGAAAAGGAACCAGCACCCTTCTGGAACAATAGTTAACTGGTTTTAGCGTAGGGGGAGAAACCTTCTCCTGGGAGCCATGTGCCTTTGCATTGCCTTTCAGATAAGATGAAACTACATTAGTATTTTAATATATTGCAGCCTGGCCAAGCTGTATAAAAAGCAAAAGTAGCCGTTTAACAAGGAAAGGTTTCCCATGCCTGTTTTCCCCTGTTACAGGTAGGTTGCTGCAACTGACTAACACTGGCTACGTGTGGGGCACGTCTCTGCACTGCAGAGCTAGGGAGGGAGCTGTGCCACGAGACTATAAAGAAGAAAAACATCAGACTTCTGTGCTCTACACAGTACTACTTCCACTCTTGGCAAGTTTCCAACAACCCCAAGGAAGGTAGCAAAGCCGGAGTGGGCAACACCACCCTAGTAGGGGGTGTGGTTCCCAGTAAAGCTACGCCTGCCCAACACCCTCAAGTAAAGCATTTTCAGGTAAGAATGTGAGCTATAATTCAAGAGAGCCTTTAAGTCTGGCTTCTGCCTGTCCTTAACGAGGTGAATTTTAGTATTAGGTTCAGGTAGCTGGAAGAGAAACGGCTGGCCCGTATCTCTGCCTCTGCCTTTTTTTAGCTGCACGAAAGTCACTGGTTGCACATTAGTAAACTGTACGCTTGCAATATAATACCTGTCTCCGAAAGCATTCGTCCAGGTTGTGAGTGGGGTCGTCAGCACTTCTGCAACAGTTTCTCATCATCTCATCGTAATGGATAGCAACAGAAAGGATTGTTGGGGCGTAGAGGAAAGGATGCCTTCGGGAAACCTCATAGATAAAACTAAAACACAGAGAGAAATATCTTTACTTTCAGAGTGAGCCCCTACGTGCAAAGGACAGTGCTGCTATTGTAACATCTGCCAGTATGTTTAAAATTACATCTACTAAAAGTGACTGCTTTCCTGCTATAACAACAGCCTGTATAGCGCGGTAATTCTTTCAGAAAATTTCTGCTGGGGCTGATGTTTTTACGGAAATGAGAAGCTTATAGCCTGCCAATTTTGTTCTAGAGGCAGCAAAACATCTGCTTGGTTTTTAAGACCTGAAGGGCGATACTTGATTGTTTCAGGTGAGGCCTTTGTGTAAATTATACTGAAATAGGCCAGAGTGTTTATCCTTTGGAGCTTTATCTGAAGCAGGGGTGTCAGAAAAGGATTCATGTAATGACAATTACAACTAGATGAATTATGCTAATATCCTCACATTGAGAAGAAAAGCAAGGATGAGTTTACAGAGATTTTAGAAGGTAGTGACCTTTTGGATTTTTCTTGCGTTTGCTGTCTCAGGCTGAGCATCATATGTAAACAACAAATCTATGATTTATTTACTTACTATCCTGTTAATGATTGTTGATGCTGTGAATAATTTTTGCAGGCAGCTTCAGCATTCGGCCTTTCAAGAGGAGAAATGAATCCTCTCGTTGAGTTTTTATGGGAGAGGAAGCACTCATTTCTTTCAGAGCCTTTTTTAGCACAGCAGTCAGTAAACCTGGGAAGATTTTCCTCCTCACATATAGTATCAAGGAAAATCTTGTCCTGTGAAAAGTTAAAAGGAAAAAAAAAAACAATCCTTGTGAGGATTCCACTTTACTCCACTTTACTGGAAAGTGCTTTAACCCAACATAAACTTATATGTTCTCTCTTTGTATTACCTTTTGCTCTGATCGCAATGACTATCAAACTGAACTCTAAAACACGTAAATGATGATTTCTCAAACTCGAATGCCTTTTTATGCCAAGCTAGGCTTCAAAGTGGACCAATGGTCAAACGCACTGGGCACCTCCCACTGCACTTACAACAATATGTTGACCCTTGATAACAGTTAAGATGATTGTCTGATTTGTATACTGCAGTTTCTAGGATAGCAGGATATGTGCTTTTCCATTTAGAGTGAGGTTTGTGCAGTGAAAAGTGTCTCATTTGTTGTTCAAAGAGCAATGTTCACATTCAGCTCTCAGTCATGCCTCTGCTGGGAACTATTTTAATAGTTGGGTTCAATTCAGCATGTTTAATAAATCAGAAATGTCTCATAATGCAGATTGACGTTCATGTTTGGGTATTCAGTCTCCTAGCTCCAAAAGTTTAAGGGTACCAGCATATGCTGTGTTAGTGCAGACACCATCAAAAACCAGGAATGAGAACTAATGGGTAGAGAAATCACCTATAAGCGTCATCTTTGCTAGAAATATCTGGTTTGGCTTCTACCAAATTTTGTTATGCCATCCATAAATGCACAACTTTCTGAACAGCTTGTTGAAAGACATAGGTCAAGAATTTCAAAAGTTATTGTCATTTCTTCGGGGTGCCTTTGCTTTCCTGCACTTATTTTGAGATGCCTTATACAGCCTCGAGAAGGAAAGAACTGGGAAGACCAAACGGGCATATGCAAGAAATCATGTCTCTTAATAACATACTCCTCTTTGGAAAAACACATATCAGGGCTCTGAAATTGCAAGTCACTTCTGAAAATCTTTGCCACTTTAGAAGTACAAACGTGCTTACCAAGGGCTTCAGGCAATCATGGTTGTCTTTGCCTGCAGCAGCACACCTTTTGGCAAGGTCTGTGACATCTTCAGCCATTTTAACTGCTTTGCTAAAAGTGCTCTCTTGCACATACTGAGCAAACATGATCATGGCACTACAAGGAGAACACATACCATTAAGTACGTTGCTGACTACGTAAAAACAAATTATGTAACTTTAGCGTGCGAGTGGTCAGCCTGATTCAGACAGTAAGAGGATCCGTGTCACCACTGGTGGAGCTGGTGTGGGCTGGGGGAACGGGTGAGCGTGTGACTCACGGTACGTGCTCATCTCTGAACAAGACAAAATGCCACAGGAACGTTCATTAGCAGGAACTTTGCAAGTAGAATGTTTATCTGGACAACTTACATGGCTTTAAAATTATTCTCCTGCAGCTGAGAAAAGCGTTGGCCAATGGTGAGTTTTGCCTCTGAAAGAAAGACAATTGGTTTTTGAATAAAAAAGGCTTCATTAAAAACCCTGCTTTTTTTGGTGCTGGAGTCTCAGAGAAGGATAGTTTAGTGCCTGAGGTGACTAGCATTGGGGGATGGGAAACATGAGCTCAAACTTCCTATTTGACCTACGCGCAGAAGGAATGCATCATTTCTCTGTCTACCTGAAGTGTGATGGGGAAGAGTACACTGCAGTTTGGAAGGTGTTCAGCTACTTTGATGATGCAAGTCACAACCATTGTATGAGCACCTTAGACAATACCTTTTAACCTTGCTGTAGCTATTTAAAGGTTGCTTGATCGCTGGTTGGGTACAGATCAGGGATTATGTTTGTGGAAAACATAGGCTAAATTCAGGACTACACTGGTAGGCAAAGCACCAGAAAATTAATGGAGCTGCATCCTTCTGTGCATTGGCCCAGAGGAAAACAAAAGGGTCTAATGTATCTGAATATCATGTGCAAATAATTTGCCTTTGCCAGTGGGCCTCTTCTAGTGGCCAGAGTTACTCCCAAGAATTTTTTTAAGTTCCTCGTTTTTCAGAGAATCTTCCCAAAGATTAATTTTAATGTAAGGGGCCTACTCCCAAAACAATGGTATCCTGTCATACCCCATGGGTAGGATTGAGATCACTATAAAAAGGGCCAAAAAATGAAGAAATAAGCCAGCTTCTCACTCTGAGTAATGTGGAGGGGTAAAATGAGACCATGCCAAGCGATAAATAACATCAACACCTGCTATGTTTTACACTGCTGGGCCATTTAATTCATTTGGAAAGCCTAAAGATGAAAAAACAGCTGACTTCTGACAAAAACATGTAACATGGGCGAAGCATCATAACCCTGCCCTATGGAAGGTTTTTTTTATGGTTTAATTTTTGCCATTTAGCTCTGGTACCTTAATGCAAAGTGCAGTCATCCTAGGCTTCCTCAGCGATCGGTGAAGAGGGAGTAAGACTCCTCTAAAGGATAATACGTAGCAATAGCATAACTTAGATACTCTGAATAACTATCAGGAGGTACTGTCACCCTCTTGTTGTTTCTGTCTTTCTCTCTCCCCCACAAACTATGGAGGGAGCCTAGAAAAACTGCAGTCATAATTTATTTCAGTAGCTTTTGGAGTAGCTGAAACTGAGTGGCATGACCACATCCCTATGGATTAAAATATCCTTCAGTATACACCCTTTAAGTAAGTACTGGCTGTCCCACACTTCTCAAAACATTAAGAAGTAACATAACCTAAGATTGATCGCATAGAAAAATAATACAGGTATAATTTTGTTGTTTACCTTCGACTCAAGAAAATACGAGAGTACAATTAGCAGTGTTACAATGAAATCCCAAATAACTATGTGCAACAAGTGGCAGTCATCAGTATTACGTGAAAGAACAGAGTAAAATATGAGATATATTCTTACCTACATCCCGATAACTTCTGGGCAGGGCTTTGGCTACAGAAAAGCTTACTAACAAAATAAAATAAATGATTGTTTTCCAATTCATAATGTCAGATTTTGGCAGGGGCCTGAGCTGACCTTGGCTTGTCCGTTAAAGGCAGAAACACTTAAGAGGAAAGAGTTTCTTTTATACTCTCCTAAGCAGTTTTTGGTTAATCAGAACCCCTTTGCTGTCATATATAAGATTAGACCCTTTGGAATATTCCCACAATCGTTAAACATGTTGTTATTTGCTCAGTACGGTGAACTGACCAGCTTGCTGCAAAAAAAGGACCTTGTAGATTCTTTTTTTCACGAAATTTAGACAGATAGACATTTTCAACTTATCACACTTCAAACAAGAAGTTAAACATTCTTTGTGCTCTTTATCATGCATATAGATCTCTTTTACTTCCAAATTTGTTCAAAGGTGAATCCTGTGTAGGAGGAGCCTTGGTAACACACTGTTGACTGAAAGATCCCGGGTTCAGATGCTAACCCAAGATTTTTGCTTCCCTCCTTGCTGAACAAGCTAGCTCTTGATCCCAGTTGCAGAGACGTCCTAGCGGAAAAGCTGCCTAAGTACCCTATACAATATATTCGCAGCATTAACAGCCTCAAAATGTTTCTGCAATTTGGAAAGAAAATAAAGACAGTAGAATGAAGGGAAAAAATCAAAGCAATATTCAAGTTAATAATTCAAGTCATTGTAGTGACTTTTAAGAAAGTATATTCTGGTCATCAGCACTATAGAAATGGCAAATTTTAGGCAATGGAGTGGCTTCAAAGAGCCACCGATGTTTGCAGCAAAGAGGTAGGTAGGCAAGGATATGTATCTTAAATGTGAAGGAAGGGGCAAAGACAGAGCTTTCTGCCTAGAAGAATTCCTTGTTCCGTGCTGAAAGAAAATGTTGAAGGTCATTCATTATCCCATGAGATGCTATCAAAAGGAAAAAGGATTCTGAGTGAAGCTGGGAGAATATTTGTTAGAGCAGAGGACCTGAAATCTAAGGTGAAATCACATCTGTCTAGGAAGACACAAACAAACTCTGTTACACACTTAACTAAAAAGCCCTGTAGGAAATAGGGTTATCTGAGTGAAAGAAAGGTGTCTCTGATATGGAGGTTATTGTCCATATTTCTAAATACGTCCTCCTCATTTAAGCCCATGGGAGCAGAGCACAGAAAAGTTTTCTCATCCAGCAGATATATTTACCAAAAAGTGGACTATCCCACGCGCTAATGACTTAGCATTATTTCATTTTTGCTAGCTGCAGATCCCTCCGGGTTCTCAGATTTGGGAGCCTCCTGCGTGCAGCTGGCCAAGGGCCAGCAGAGATTGAGGGGGCTGTGAGCAGCTGGACCAGAGCCCCTGTGGGGATGTTAAGCAACCTGGGGTCTCTTTGGGGCAGCATTGTCTGTCTAGGGAGTGCCTGCATCAGGTTTTCCACGTGTAGCAGGGAAAGGTTAAGGCAAATCCTCTCATTTTCATTTTCATACCCTAACACAATGTTGTTACTATAAGCTATAAGAAAAAAGTGGGATTATTTATTCGAGGAAGAATTGCAGAAACAACTGAGATACTGAGGCCAGAGACTTTTTATAGCAGGGTCTCCTGTGACCCAGAAAAGCATTTTTCAGAGATTATGTATGTGTAACACGTTGTCCTAAATATTTCAGAAAGCTCTACTTGGCTGCTGGGTTTAAAAATCTGTACCTTTAATTCTTCCACTCTCCTTTTCCATGCTCAACAGGATGGTTAAATCCTTTCTAGGTCTCCTTCAAAATATGTGCTGCTGCTACGATGGCAGGCTGCCTATTTACAATGAATACTGTCATTTGCAGGAGAGAAATGTAAGTATAGTAAGCATTAGAAATGAGATTCAACAAAGAGCATAGTTCCACACAAAGTTTCCATTGTTCTTCTAAGCACAGAAACTGTATTGATCTCTTCAACTTTACACCTAATGAGGACACAGCTGTTTCCAGACCATCCTGGAAACTGTCCTGCAAGCTTAAGACGGAGCTAAAAGTGGCTGATTGCATCCACAGCTGATTGTGCCCAGGGTGTGGAGGATTGCTGTAAATGCCTTTCAGCTGGGGGTGGTTCTTGGGGATATTCAACAGGTCATGACATGTTGGGACAGCTCCTGTGTAGGAAACTTTTGCTCTATGTGCCATTGCAGCAGAAGAGGTGAGTTAAAGAGATTTTGCTGGCAATTTTTCTTTCACAATGCTCACCACCCTTACTGGGAGGTCTGTGTGTCTTTACACTGGGCCTTGGTCATGACACTCTTGAGTCAGTGATTGTAATTCCCAAAGTGCAACCAGGTTTGCCCAAAGCTAATAAAATGTCTTTGTTTTTGCTAGTCAGATGAGTTGTTGAGCCTACTTTTGTTGTGAACCTACCTTTTGCATAGGCTGGCTTCTTCATGGTTGTATCTATTCTTCCTATCTTTATTCTTGCAAGTTAAAAATTGTGTTTTCTGGAAGCAAGAGTGTAATTTAATCCTATGTTTATATTACTTCTTACTTTATTGCACTGTGAGAGTTTCATTCTTATGAGATAATGAACATTCACTCTAAACCTAATATATTATGTTCATCAGAGGTTCATACACCTGGAAGAGTTCAGGTTCTCCCCAAGTGGTGATAAGGTGTCAGTTTGTCTTTGTAAAGTCTGGAACTTCATTAATGTGATTTGGGGATTTCTTTAGACTGTAAATAGTTTTAATTACTGTTAGGGGTGTGCTGTGTAAGATGTATGTGAGAGATCTCTAAATGATCTTGGGGGGCGGGGGGAAACCTGACCAAACAAAGAAAACCTCCATCACACTCCTGTTCATATTTTCAGAAGAAATATTATCAAAGGCAGCAGACTAGGATTTACCTGAGCAGGTATTTTTGAATATGTCTCATTGGGATACTAGAGTCTTTTGCCTGCAGAAGATATGATACAGTAACAGATACAAAACATGAATTGGTGATTTTCCTCTCGCCCCGGCCGTCTCCCTTCTGGTGCCTGTTTCTGTTGTGGGTCCAAACGGCCATGGGCCTTATGCATGTTCTAAGGCAACAGAATTATTTCCTCATCTCTGGGAGCCTTTTGCAGGTATCTAACATCAGGGCACCTTAGTGTGGGGCTGGCACTGGCTGAACCAAATGGCAGTCCTCCAGCACCTGCTTCTGTTGTCCAGTGTCTGGAGCTGTTTACTGATGATCAGATCAAATCTCTGGGGCCTCCCACCGTGCTCAGAGTAGCAAGGTGTTTCTGTAGGTTGCAGTGACATCTCTTTCGATCTGTTAGGCTATCTTCCTTTATGACCCTTTAAAAGACACAGCCCTGGCTGAGGAGTTGATTTAAATTTAGAAATGTGATCAGATTGTATTCTGAAAAAAATTACGCTAATTGTGAGAAGATTGACGCTTCCAGCCTGTGTAAATTGTTTCTGCTGAAGGTAATGCAGCTATCCCAATTACCTGAGCTGAGAATCTAGGCCACGTTTTTCCATTCTGCAACTATGTTAGCTGGTCAGCTGAGGAGAGGGCCAGAAGAGAACTTGAAATAGCAGTGTGAGGCAGCGACCTTCTAATGTTTGCAGATATGTTAAGATGTTTTTAAAAAAACAAAACAAAGAAAAAACCTACATTATGTTGGTAAGTTAACATGGTAATTTTAGTAAATTACTATGTTTCTGGCAAAGCAGTCCTTGGAGGTTACTGAGACATCTGTTCTGGTATTGTAAATATCTGCAGATGGAGTCCTAGGATGTTTTTTTGGCTAAAGAAGACAACAAATCTCAAAAAGAAGACAGTGAATAGAAATTGAGGGGGGGTAAAAATTAAAAAAAATTAAATTTCATAATGAGAGAAGTTGCAAGTCAGTAGCGTTTTTTGTAACTTGTGTGGATGTATTTCCCTACGTAGCTGCACAGCATGAGTCTCTCTTTCACCTAGGGGTTATCAAACCCTCATTATTCAAACCATTAATCTGCGCTGCTGAGAAAGACAAGGCTTAGATCATGGCCTGGACAGAGGAGTCTGTTTTAACCAAGCCATTTAATAATCTCAGTCTATGTTTCACTTACGAGTGCTCTCTATTCAGACTTTAGTAGGAGCATGACTTTGCTCCTCATGAAAGCTTTTTCCATATTTAATTTTGTTTTAATTTGGCTTTGTTTTATAAGACTAAACTTACTACTTCCTGTGTTCAGTAAAGGCTCATATGTCCTTTCTTATCACATACCTATTTTGACTTTTATTTAGAAGAAGGAAGAAAACATAAAAGATGATCAGTAGAGAGTAGAACTTGAGCGTTCTCTGATGCCATTCGTTGTCTTTTGAAGCAGTGATTTACAGGAAGGAACAATCTCTCTCTCACGTTCTGGGGAACTAAGAGATGGTTCAACAAATCACTTCTGGGTTTATCTTGTAGCTCCTCCTGCTTTACTGCAGATTGAATCTGGGACTTCAGAGTGGACTTGGACTTCCCACCCCTGTGCCTCTCCCATTTTTTTTTATCTCTTTATTCATCAAGAGGCAAAGCTCAAAGCTAAGCTGAAGAGATCACAGAATGGCCTTAGAAACCCTGATTTGTAGGGGTTTAATTTTGTATTTAAAAACAGAATCCAGCTGGTCTGGAGTCTTGTTGATGTGTATGGAAACAGGCTGTTTCGTCTGTAAAGCATCTGGCCCTGACTATATTTTGTTTGTCCTATCTGTAATAACTTGAGCTTATACATCCATGTTGATCCAAAAATACCCCTGATATGTAAGATGCCGCATGAGCTTGTTGATCTGCTGAGTATGTTTGCCACAGTGGCAGCACAGTCACTATTAGACTGGAACTGTGGCAGCTGCTCTGTCCTAGCAGCAAACCTTAATACTTTTTTGGAGATGAAGATCTACTCCCTGAACTGAAGAGTAAATAGTTGTAATGGCTGGATTAAAAAGAAGAAATATGTTTTGTTTTATATGCTAAAAATTGCAACAAAGGAAATTTGAAAAAACAAACGAACAAACAAACCCATAACTCTTCTTTCTCCCCCTCCTTCAGTACCTGAGTTGTACAATTTTTCAATGGAAAGCTAAAACAATTTCAGCTTTTAATCCACGTTACCCAGTTAGTGAATTGCAGATTCCCTCAGACACCTTACGTACACTCTAGGAAAGAGAGGGATTTTTTTTTTTTTTTAAGCTTAAAAATCAATTAAAAAAAAAAAAAACCCAAGCCCTTCTCCAAGATTTAGCCATTCCCAGGGCAGTAAACTGGCTCTGTGAAAACTGAGAGATCTTCAGTTCAAACAGGTTTCCAAGAAGTCAGTCTTAAGCATTCAGAAAGCAAAGCAGGGCTCCTCTGTCCTCTCACTGGCGTGATATTTCTGTATTCAGATGGCATTCAAATAAAGCGCTCTGAATTGGGACTAGGCTCAGCCCTTCTTGCTACAACACACAGAATTTACTATGCATACCATGGCAGCACTGGCCAGATCCAGCCTAATTCACGTGAGAAAGTCTGTGGCCGGAGTGTTATAGCCTGAGGCTTACTGAAGCAGATCAGCATTTTGCACTTGGTTTTTTGGGTCTGCTTCAAAGCTTACTGAAGAGAGTGGAAGGCTTTGTTCTAACATTAGTAGGTTAAGATAAGTTATGACAGTATCACAATTAACACTCTGATGATTAACACTGAAACAGTACCTCAAAATTTAAGGCATGTTACAGGACATTTATATAAAATTTCCTTACCTGTATCTGCAATAAGTCTTTTCTGGTGAATGTAGCAAACCTGAAATGGAAAAAGAAACTGAAGTTGTTTACTTCATAGCTGCAGTTTATTTGACAGAGAGAGATTACTTACCAACACTGGGAAGTGTGATGGTAAAGAATTGCTCTTTTCAGTCCATGGAAATGACTAACTATGTCAAAATCATTTGTGAGCTTCGGTTTGACCTGGAGATGATTTCCAGACTGGGAATATTTTGCCAAAAGTGCACATTTTAACCTGTTTTCTTACTATATTTGTAATCCAGACCTCTCTATTTTTAAAGGCTTTCTAAATTAATGGATCATCAAATACGTGGAGAAGTGTAACTTGTCAACAGCCCCCTATTTCTCATGAGACATGGCATTAAAATATTCTCTCACTCCCTTGCCTCTTCTTTGCCAGTATTTGTTAAACAGATAGGCATGCTGGCGTCATGTAGACAAAAACGTACTTAGCTGAGAGGAGTCTGTTCAGGTTCTCTTATCTTTAGGGAATTAAAAGATTTATGTGTAGTATCTGGTTTCTCTCTTTTTAGTCACTTAGGTGACTAGGTGCTTTGCATGGCCCCTGTGTTTGGGATGAATTGACAGTTTTCCTATGAGGACTTGTTTCTGTGAGTGTTTTGCTGTGGGTGTGTATAAGCATGTCAGCACAGGAGACAGGATAAGCTATTACAGTACAGGTGGGAGCATGCCCAGGCCACATATGCTGACGTCTTGCCATAAATTGGCATTGAATGCCTCTGTGCTTACCTTCTTCTGAGTTACTTGGCCAGGAATGAAAAAACTTGGTTCACCACTCTTCTGGCAGTCCTCTTCTCTTTGCCTTTTGTCTTTGGGCTTGTAAGGACACATTTGCTATTTCCGTTGTATCACAGAGTGACATATCATTGGAAATTGTGCTACGTGCTTTGAAAATTAATTGACAGAGTTTGAAATTAATTGACAGATTTCCCAGGAGCACTTGTGACTGTGAGTGTTCATACTGTGGGTCTATTAGCATGTCAACACAGGAGAAAGGACAACTTCTCATTACAGTCCTGGTCTGTTTAGAAAGCTTTTGCTTTGTGAGAGGCAGCAATTGGCACTCAAAGTGACCCCAGTGAAGATTAGTGTTAGCAAACCGCTCTCTTTTTCTAGCCTCCCATTTGCAAGACTTCTTGCCCCGTTAAAGTGACTGGTGAAGCTCATCAGAACAGCAGGCTGCCAGCAATGCTATGGTTTGTTCAGTGTTATTGCGCTTAAGGTCAAGCACTAGAAATCTCACCTTGTCTTCAGCTTCTTCCATTTTGGTAAATTTTCTGGCATAGTGCAAAAAGTTGCAAGAAGTAACAAGGAACAAGGTCTACTAAAGTAGCAGACAGATTAATACCTTCAGGACTAGGATATATTCATTTGCCTCAGACTCTATAACCCTCTTTGCCAGATAAATCTACGTAATAGTGTACAACCTTTCTTGCTTCTTGACTTCTCTTCCCCTTCATCACTTGGATTTTTGCTGTCACACTGACATGATGCTGATGGAGGGCTGGCTGTCATCCAGGATAACTCTGCAGGCCATGTAAGATGTGGCTTACAATGCAGCTACCATGGTGATACAGCCATCTGGTTTTCGCAAAGAGATCCAGTCAGCAGCCGTGTGCTATGTCACCTTATTGCCCAAACAGACGCGATGTTATTTATATATAGCCAAGGATTCCTGGGGGTCCTCCTCTTCTTGAGGGAATTACTCTTTAGCTTCTACAAAAACAGGGTTTCATCTATATTCAGGCCTCTTCTACCAGCTTCAGCTGTGTCAAGTTGTACCTCTTTCCCAGGCATTTCAGAAGCACCAAGAGCACAACA